TTACCCTACCTTTTTATCTATTACAGCAACTGCAGTCTTCACTCCTAAAGTCCAGAAGCCTGCACCAGACTTCTCAGCCACTGCCGTTGTCAATGGTGAATTCAACAATCTCAAACTGGCAGACTTCGCTGGCAAATATGTTGTTTTGCTTTTCTACCCGTTAGATTTGTAAGTTAACATTAACACAGTTTATTACATGCTCAAGAATTAATTATTGTAAAGAAATTCCAGATACAATGGGAAATCTTTTGTGTCAATCATTAAAATCTGTGCCACCTACCCACAGCCATATTTGTAAGGTGTTCCAATATCTATTTCCTTAAACCTTAAGATGTAATATATTTTTTTTTTTATTTCTAACTAAGTAGGTATGCACTGTATAAGTAGGTAACTATACTTTAATAGTTAAATTAAGCAGTAATTGATTATTACTTAATTTCAGCACATTTGTCTGCCCAACGGAGCTAATTGCGTTCAGTGACCGAGCAAAGGAGTTTGCTAACATCGGTTGCCAAGTTATCGGTATCTCCACAGACTCGGAATACAGCCACTTAGCATGGACTAACACCCCCAGGAAGGTAACTTTATACTTACTTATTTAGAGTCCCTTCGGACTACCAACTTTTTTGATTCCTTCGACTCATACAAATTGGTAGCTGATTGGAAAATGGTGTACCATTTGTTTTTTTTATAAAGCAGGCTGACAAAACTATCGGCCGAAAATAGTGTCTGCACGGACTCTTATTTTACACCTATTTATGGTAAACACCAAACTACCTACATTGTAAGATTATCATTATACTAGTAGTAATTGAAGCATTGGGAACAACAAGGGCGTTCGGCACCGAAAGTCCGTTTTGATGTTATTACATCAAAACATACACTGTACCATCTAGTTTAACATCCCAAAAACTCGTTTCGATCAGCCGCTCCCTGATGGCGTGAGAATAATTTATGTCACAAGTGGCGCTACGCCCTTGTTGCATACAGTAACAAAAGTGCGTTTAAATTCAACCTGCATGCAGTTTTTAAAAACTTATTAATGTAAAAAATGACTAAAGACTAATTTTGAGTCTTCCAGTGACTTGGCCCCCTTTTAGATTGGTCCACGGACCAAGTCGCCAGATTGAACTTTCAATTATTTATTCCTCCGGCAAATAGACTCACTCTAAGATTCTAGAGTAGATTTGTGTTGATTTGGTGTTTAATTTATTAACAAAAACATTGAAAGTTCACCTTTTTAGCTCCGGAAATTGCGGCAACCAGTTTAAAAAAGAAGAAAATATTTAAAAATTCAATCCGGCGACTTAGTCCGTGGACCTAGCTAAAAGTGAGCCAAATGAGTGGTTGAAACTGGTCCTGACCTTCCAGCCAGGCCTGGAGGATCAGGCTGGACTTTCCAGGCCAGTTGCAGCTGATTCGGTAGATTCCCTTCAGTTTAGTGAATATTTTGATAGATCTGATTAAAACACGAAAGTCGGAAAAAATATTAAGAAAGTTGAATATTTTAACGGTGATTGTAATAAATACACATGTTTAACTTACATTTTAATTAAAATTAATAAAATAAGTATTCATATTGTTATTTATTTTCCATAAAAATAAATAATTAAATTAACGTCCTATCTGTTTACCAGTTTGGTGCAACAAGGGCGGATAACACAAGTAAAAAAAATCGCATTTTAAGATGTTTCCGATTGCTTTAAAATAGTTATAATACCTTTATCTTATTGCTAAATCATGGGACTAACAAATAATAAAGTAAGTGTAAGTCAAAATATAAACATTAAAAAAATATAAGACATTAAAACTTTCATCGTCAATTTTCTCGAAACTCAATTTTACGAGATACGCCCTTGTTGCACCCAATGCTTCNCTAGTAGTAATTGAATTTGAAATCAAAATCATCAAATTCTGGAAAATTGCCAAATTAGTAAAATTGTTTTGTTCATAATTTTTGGGATTGACATAATTAAAGTGATTGATTTATAATTTTCAGGAAGGTGGAGTGGGCAAATTAGATTTTCCCCTATTAGCTGACTACAAGAAAACCATTTCATCAGACTATGGTGTGCTTATAGATGAGGGGATTGCACTCCGTGGTAAGTTTTAATGTTAATTTTCTTTGCTTTGATTATAAAATGAGGTTATCATGTTAAATTTCTAATATTACATGGGATTAGCTGATAAAAATGAAATTATCATACTGATAAAATATTAATGTTATCACCCAAATCCATTTCTTACTATGCTGTGTCTAATTTCATTTTACACAAAATACTAGCTTTCCGCCCGCGGCTTCGCCCGCGTGTAATTTTGTCTGTCACAGAAAAACAATATCGCGCGCGTATTTACTCACCGTTTAGACCTACCCTGGACTACGACAAACATTTTAAAACCAAAATCAGCTCAATCGGCCCAGCCGTTCTCGAGTTATAATCAGACTAATGAACATCAATTCATTTTTATTTATATAGATAGACTAGCGGCCGCCCGCGACTTCGTACGCGTGGATCCCGTTTTACCCCCTTTTCCCGAATTTTCTTTGCTATAAACCTCACGGAGCCCGAGACCTTTCCAACGAATGCAAAACCGTGGAAATCGGTTCGTGCGTTATGGAGTTATAGCGTCAGGGAGGAAAACCCGACTTATTTTTATATAGTAGATTACCAATGAAGTATACTACCAACTTACAATATGCTAGAGGTCACAGGTGGGTTCAATGCCTACATAATGCATCTTTATACATAATTGTTTGTTTGTATTAATCTAGCTAGATGATTTCCAAAATATTGTTATACTAATGCAGTAGTTTAAAATGTCCAAAGATATAAAACATTTATTTACTAAACTGTCTGTTTTTCTTCAGGAATGTTTATCATTGACAAAAACGGTATTCTCCGACACATGTCAGTCAACGACTTACCAGTAGGCCGATCTGTGGAAGAAGCGCTGAGACTCGTGAAAGCATTCCAGTTCTCTGATAAACATGGAGAAGGTAAGTCTATAAAAACTACAGGGTGGAATTTTGTAATGCCATCTAGAGGGAAAGTACTCTTAATACTGCAGATAGAAAATTTTACTAAGGGCTGATTTTTCAACCGTCGGATAACTTTTAACTGAAGAATAAGTTTGGCACATTGACAGTTTTAGTACGGGAAATATGTCAAAATGACAAGGTTATTCTACAGTTAAAAAATATCTGACGATTGAAAAATCAGCCCTAAAAGAAAACATTCCTTTATTTTTGAAAAGAAAGAGAACTGCATTCATAGATTTTCGAATTTTTTTCGAAAATTCACTATCATACCATACAATTTTCTGTACGTAATTAAAATAATTTAAGATTTTATGGATTTCCTTTCATTTGATTTATCAAGTCTGTTAGAGATATTTCATCCTTATACTTGACCCTAACGATTGATGCAATAAAAATACAGGGTGTAATTTTTAACAGATTTTAGTTGGTTCGATTCCCGGGTGTGGCAAGCAAATTTTTGGAAATCTTTGAATGCAGTTCTATTTCTTTTCAAAAATAAAGGAATGTTTTCTTTGAGATTTTTTTTCTATCTATAAATATTAACGGTACTTTGCCTCCAGGTGGCATTACAAAATTCCACCCTCCAAAATTCCAGTCATTAACTGCTGGGTAACGGCCTCACCCTCGGAATTCCATAGTGACCATTACTAAAACGTAGTATAGTCATAAGTCAGTGTTCGTGAGATCCAAAGTAGCCAACACGTCTTTGTTACAATTGGAATAAGGTTGTGTTGTCAACTTTTTGGCCATTTGAGTGTCACGAACTATTTGACGCTGACTTTACAGGCAAGCCTCCCACTCGATAGACCGCCGATCTGGTAAAAATCGCGGGAAGACTCGGGAAGCGGGCAGCGCAGATTGCAGAAGTGGTTGTTAAAATCTACTAAAGCCTGGTCCGTGAACACGTAGAATCCCGTCCAATGACCCCAAGCTACCCATCCTTATCGCTCGCGCGTAATTATGTTGCTGTCGCGACTGTGCGACGCGCGCCCGCAGTGAGTGTGCGAGCGCGACAGCAACATGACTACGTGCGAGTGACAAGGATGGGCAGCTTGGGGTCATTGGACGGGATTCTACGTGCTCACGGACCAGGCTTTACTACAATCAACTGTATTAAAGTTATATTTGTGTATTTGTAATAGGTGTGTATCAATCAATACCATGCACTGTGATTTAATTTATTAGCAATTAGAACATTTGTTGTGAAGCATTAAAGCAACAATAGCACAAACTGCCGATTCGATCTGTCCGTAGTTCGATCCCCGTCGTTTAAACAATATTTTAGTCCTAATTCACAGTATTTTCTTACTCATTTTGTCTTTCTGTTTACAGTTTGCCCAGCCAACTGGAACCCAGAGACAAACGCGGACACAATCAAGCCAAACCCCAAGGAAAGCAAAGAGTACTTCCAGAAAGCAAACTAGCTTGCAAGTTAGTTCCATTGTCCTACCAATAGATGGCGACTGTAGCAATTATGCATCTCACTTGTGAAGTTTTTAATAGTTTTATAACTTGCATAATGGGTTTTGGTATTTAACCGTATGGTCGGCTCGAATACTAAGTATTTATTGAACAAAAACCAAAAGGCATTTATTTTAAGGTAAAATGAAAATAAGATCAATTTTAGTTTTAAAACCGGATTTAATCCAACGTTTAGATCAAAGTCTTCTGTTTCAAAGGTGTTTTAATTATAAAGTTTTGTTATAAATACTGTTTTATTTTTAAAATCCTTGCATAATTACATAAATTATTTTCTTCAAAACAGAACACATATATTAAAAATCGTTAAAAATTCTAATTAATCACATTTCTCGAGACCTAAATCGTTGCGAGAATAAACACTTATAAAACAGTCCATAATCGCCCCAAAAACCTGTTAAAAGAGTAGAAAAGTGTAATATTCCATTTTCACGCTCCCCGTTAAGTGGAAAAATGATTTACCATTTTTTTTAACCTTTAACTATTTCCTTCTAACTTGCCTCGGTTCTAAAGAAATCTTGCAACCCTCGGCTGGCTTCAGGAATAGTTCGAGCGTCAACACCAGTTGTCTATGGTCGGCTTTTATTCTGTAGTTGCGCAAGATATGAACTAAGGTGATTTTCATCAACGTCAGTGCATAGGATCTTCCTGGAAAAACAAATAGAATTTAATTCTATTAGGTTACAGTTCGCGCAGACATTTTCAGTTAAAAAATAGCGTGCTTCTTGATATGTCATCGTCTGTAGGTATCTCATAATGAGATTTAGGATTGCGCTGTGTGGTGTCAGAAGCCGTGTCAGGGTTTATTCCACTATTCCCCGTTGACAATCCCCGTCAACGGGGAATAGTGAACTTTTTGTTCATTAATCCCCGTTAAACGCCAATTGGAGCTTATAAAACTTATAATGGGGAATAATGAACTAAAAAGTTAATTAATCCCCATTACGTTAAAAATAAAATCCTAATATAACGGGGATTAATGAACTTGTTAGTTCATTATTCCCCATTATAAGTTTTATAAGCTCCAATTGGCGTTAACGGGGATTAGTGAACAAAAAGTTTACTATTCCCCGTGGACGGGGATTGTCAATGGGGAATAGTGGAATAAGCCAGTGTCAGGCTGTAAGCAAGAACTCAAATTACGAAAATAAGTTAACACAACTCATTCAATAGAATTTCGTTGTTTACACGTCTCGTCTCCACTCAGCTTTAAAGGATATTGAGCAAAGTGGAGGATTATGAGCAAAATGATGGAGGTGACATTTCCATACAAAATACGTCTTATAAAGCGGAGCGATAAAAACCTCCGCACATCTCCGCTATGCTTCGCTTTAGTAGAAACAACCTGCCCACCATAACGCCACTCATCTTGTCTCGTCTCCCCTTTGATGCAAAACAGCCATATTGAGCTGCCCGGCAAAAAGGTTTCGGAGCGGTGAGCGAGGTAATAAAGTCCGCAATGAGGGCTATCGTTTTAGCGCTCACCAGTTAGCGCCACTGTAGAGTAAGGTCCTGTCACTTGCTAGTAGCGAAGACAGTGGCACCAACTGGTGAGCGTTACAGTGGTAGGAGGACTATCGCATTTGCACTCATCAAGATGGCGCCACTGTAGAGTAAGGTCCTGTCAATCGCCAGGGGTGCCAACTGTTAAGTATAAAAACGATAGCCCTCATTCCGCAATACTCATTAGCTCCACTTCGTTGGTAAGATAGCATTACGTACCAATGCAAGCTCGTCGTCCAGTACTGAATCCAGTGTAAGCATTACAGTTCTCTGGTACTGTATTTTCCAACCACCTCTCCGGTCTGAACTGGTCTTTATCCGCCCCCCACACCTTGTGTCTGCTGACTCCGCTTAGGAATATAGCGCAGTTACTACCCTCCGGCATGGTGTAGTTTCCTGGAAAGAAATAGACTCGATAAAGTCTTTCTTATCTTATCCTATTTTTGTCATAGACCAGAGTTGGAGACACGGTACTCCACAGTTGGAAACTGCTTTGCACTGAAGGGAAGTCGAACCTTAACTCCGAACTCTATGTCCTTCAGTTCCTGATTAAATTCGTTGCGGGTCCAATGACAGTTCAACTTTTCCCGCGTCAAACATGACCTTCACTGGTTGGGTTTTTATTGGCGGTCAATGCCGGTCAAGCTTTAAAAACTGGCTATACAGGAGTCCTTCTTGTCGTGTCGACAGCAAACCTTTACAGTGTCAGCCCAAAACTCCGCTACAAGAGTGGCGTTGTCAGTAGCATTAATTAAATCTTCCTGCGTGCAGTTGTTTGGGCACGCAGGGCACGACAATATAGGTATATACAGGATTTGCAGCGGTGGGAATAGTCCCGTAGTGTTGTATAAAAAGAAACTTACTAAGTTTGACGTCCTTGTCCACATATCTCAGTATAATTGGTGTGACCGGGTACAGTCTGCCCACTTCTTTCAGGACGGCATCCAGGTAGACCAGTTTAGATAAATCGTGCTTCTCCACGTCTATATCTGAGTTTCCGAATACCTCTTCCAACCTGTGAAAGAAAGGTGGAAATATCAAGTCTAGTAAAAAAAAGGCCTGTAATAGGTCGCTAGGTCCATGGAGATTAGAGTACAGGATTCCCTATACTCGTTCCCTCACGCTGGATGCCTCCCGCTCCTGTGTAGCCAGGATCTACAGTTTGACCGCCAATAAAGCCCAAACAGAAAAAGGTAAATTTTGTCCCGGAGCGTAGGAAGTTATATGTCATTAAATCCTTAAACCAAATTATAAAAAAAGGCAAACTATGACGTCATATTACAGTCCTCATTGCCACATAAAATCAATGCGAGTGTCGCGTTTTGCAGCTCATAAAAAGTACATCAATTGACTATGATAAGAGTGTCAACTACCCTGTGCAGATAGCTGTCGTTTTATTCCCTCCATAAATCCAGCACTTGGACAATAAACAAAAGACGAAGAAGACAAGTGACAACCGCCATTTGACGCACTTACTCAGCATACACCTTCTCTTGGACATCAGGATAGGATCCCAGCAGAACACACGTATATGCCGCCGTAGTAGACGACGTGTCATATCCAGCCAGCACCATTGTATCCACTTCGCCCCTGATCTCCTGATCGGTGAGAACCCCTTCTTCTACCAGCTCCAAAACTAGGTCCATGAAGCCTTTGAATCTTTTACCTATGAAATGGTCATCAGCATTAGGTCGTTTGGTCTCCAATACAGTAGCACTCTCTTATTTATCAGAGGCTGGAGGATTTGCTTCTACATTCTAGGCACAATTTCCACCAAGACGGAACGTAGCGGAAAAGTGTTGGGCTGTCAAAGCGGAGCTGTGCAGAACGGAGAGGAGAATAGACGAAGAGCTAGTGAACGCCAGACCTACGTAATTTTATAAAAGCTGACCATCAAATCTGATTTTTATGTATAATATTTGGACAATAATTAGAAGTATTTTCCCCAAAAGCCAGACAGTTTTGACAGTTCCAACTCCTTGTCAGACAGTTTTTTTAGGGTAGCTCCCAAAGCCACGATGACCATAAACCACAATCATAGTTACCTTCATAATTCACCAACATTATATCCTATACAGGGTGTCACAAAAACAATGGATAACCCTGTAACCATCGATAGGCCTCGCCATGGTCTCCCTAACGTCCAATTTTGACCCCAGTAAAAATATCACCGATTTCAAGATTTTTAAGTTTTTGTGCATTTTTAGAAAATTGCCACCTGCGATTACTTTTTCTCATGCCATTTCTACAAATGAGGATACTTTTCAATCTAGTTTTTTTCCTTATCACAAGGGATAGTTGGGCTATCAAAAGAAAAGATTAAAGTTCAACAAACTAATTTAAAAGTATGAAAATTTTAAGAAATTGCAGAGAAGAAGGAAAAATTAATTCATTGCCTTGCACTTTTGATCAGCCATCGTGTAAAAAAAATGTAGGGAGACCATCGTGCCCATTACCTTAAAAACTTCCTTGGTTAATGGAAATTCTGAAAAGGTATCACAAGCTTATGTATTCTGTATTATTTTTATCTTATGGCTACTTGAATAGCAACTAGTATGAAAACTGCAAAAATTAGTTTTTCTCGTAATAGTTAAACTAGGACTGCATAGTGGCATCAAATACAAATTGATAATTTTTAGCGTAGGAATTTTAATAAAGCAACATTTTATCATCATCATCATTTCAGCCATAGGACGTCCACTGCTGAACATAGGCCTGTACCCCAATGATTTTCATAATGACCGCTCTCCGGTACGTAGCCTCAGCTAGGTTCAAGTGGAGGCTACGTACCGGAAAGCGCATCGTANGTCGGCTGACTCCGCTTAGGAATATAGCGCAGTTGCTACCCTCCGGCATGGTGTAGTTTCCTGGAAAGAAATAGACTCGATAAAGTCTTTCTTATCCTATTTTTGTCATAGACCAGAGTTGGAGACACGGTACTCCACAGTTGGAAACCGCTTTGCACTGAAGGAAAGTCGAACCTTAACTCCGAACTCTATGTCCTTCAGTTCCTGATTAAATTCGTTGCGGGTCCAATGACAGTTCAACTTTTCCCGCGTCAAACTTGACCTTCACTGGTTGGGTTTTTATTCTGATTATTTCGTTGTGGGTCCAATGACAGTTTAACTTTCCCCGCGACAATCTTGACCTTCAATGGTTGGCTTTTTTTTATTCTGATTTATTTCGTTGTGGGTCCAATGACAGTTTAATAACTTTCCCCGGACCAACAAAGACCTTCACTGGTTGGGTTTCTATTGGCGGCCAAGCTTTAGATCCTTGCTATACAGGAGTAGCAGCGGTGAGAACGAGCAGTGGGAATAGTCTCGTAGTGGTGAATAAAAAGAAACTTACTAAGTTTGACGTCCTTGTCCACATATCTCAGTATAATTGGTGTGACCGGGTACAGTCTGCCCACTTCTTTCAGGACGGCATCCAGGTAGACCAGTTTAGATAAATCGTGCTTCTCCACGTCTATATCTGAGTTTCCGAATACCTCTTCCAACCTGTGAATAAAAGTAGACATCAAATCAAGTAATAATAGGCTGCACAAGGATAATATAGCTAGGTTCATGGAGAGTAGAGGATTTCTTGTTCTCGTTCCCATCCGCTGAAACTCCTGCGTAGCCAGGACTTACAGCTTGACCGCCAATAAAGCCCAAACAGTAAAGGTAAATTTTGTCACAGAGGCTAGGAAAGTTATATTAAGTATGTCATTAAATCCTCAAACCAAATTATAAGAAAAAGGCAAACTATGACGTCATATTACAGTCCTCATTGCCACATAAAATCTATGCGCGTGTCGCGTTTTACCAGCTCATTGAAAGTACATTAATTGACTATGATAGAGTGTCAACTACCCTATGCAGATAGCATTTCGTTTTATTCACTCCCCCTAATCCAGCACTTGGACAAATGACACCCCATCTGGCCATAAACAAAAGACGAATAAGACAAGTGACAACCGCCATTTGATCGCACTTACTCAGCATACACCTTCTCTTGGACATCAGGATAGGATCCCAGCAGAACACACGTATATGCCGCCGTAGTGGACGATGTGTCATATCCGGCCAGCACCATCGTATCCACTTCGCCCCTGATCTCCTGATCGGTGAGAACCCCTTCTTCTACCAGCTCCAAAACTAGGTCCATGAAGCCTTTGAATCTTTTACCTATGAAGTGGTAAGCATTCGATCAATTAGTCTTCAATACAGAAGCACTGTAATGTACCAGAGGCAAATGGAGGATTTGGTTCTACATACTTAAGGGCCAGTTTCCACCAAGCCGGAGCGCGGCGGAGAAGTATTGGGCTGTCAAATTTTTCTATAGAATTTGACAGCTGTGCTAAGCGGAGAATTGGAAATAATGAAATCTGATTGGTTATTCTACTTCTCTGCTCCGCTCCGTTTTGGTGGAAACCGGGCCTAATATTGCTATTAGTTTTTTTGTCACATTTCCACGTGTTATTATTAACCTATCTGTTTGTTTACTTACGTTGAGTTTAAACATGTCTTTGATGCGGTCTAAGTGAGCTTGACCTTAGACCTTAGCATAATGTACTCACTGGTTTACATCTTATTAATATTTTCAAATGTTATCTTTATAAATTAGTGTTACATTGAAGTGGTTTCACGTAGTGTAAGAAGTCCTTTTATAGTAAAAAAAAATAAGTAGAGCCAACAGAATAAAAGATACCAATTTTTTCAATAAAAAACTTCATTTTCAACATTTAAAATAGTGGTCCTAATATCGAACCCTGAGCAACTCCTAGTCAAAAAGATAACTTACCAACTTTATTTGTTTTTCCAGCACCAAGTCTATCTTTCATTGCTCTTCTTTTTTGCTGTATTATCTAAAACGAAGTTGATATAACTTAAAACACTAAATCTAGACAAATATAGAAATAGAACTAACCAAAATAACAGTTGATGATATCTTCACAGCACTAAATAATAGATTTTACACTGCTTTTAATTATGGCAGTCGACCTTGATATTAGAGACATGAAAGACATCTAGGTACAAACTGATCGAGTTAACTGCGCACCACACTGGAATGCGTCTCGCTTACCCGCGTTCACCCCGTCCGTACCAGACCGTTGATGTGACGTCACGGCTGTCAGGTGCGCAGTTAATTCTACCGAATTGTATAAAAATAAAAATACACATAAAGTTTAGTTATCATTAACCTCGTCATTCATAGTTTGAAGCATCTTCAAAGCTTTTTCCTGACGTTTCTTGAGTTCAGTCCAACCGTATACAAAATTGCTATGCATCCAAACATTTTGGATTCTTTGGATCATAATTCTCCGGATATCATCAAAACATCTCATGTATACCTCCATTTTTTCGATGTTTTTTTCGTTTAGCTCTAAACCGAATGCGGTTACTGAAATTTGAATAATTAATTTAGTCAATAAAGACGAATCTTCAAGGAATCGACTAAATAATGTAGAACGGGTTACGAAACTCGATCCTCAATATAGAGAGACTGACTAGAAAGAAAAGAGTTACGGTTAGGTTATTATTTGATCAATGCAGCCGAATGAGATATTTAGGTATACTGTAGGGTAGATCAGTGAATATCTAAATATCAGAAATATCTTGACAACAAATGTGTGAAAACAATAAAATTCATCTTCTCCTGAAGGTTAACGGAAGGAGGATAACATTATAGCATTAAGTTTGTACTCTGTTCAGAGTGCAAATAAGGTTTGCCCTTTATGTTCGTCATAGTTGGGTAAAAAAAGAATTCGTCGTTTCAGCCACAAATGACGTCCAGTGCTGTACAAAGGTTCCCCAAGGGTTTTCATAACGACCGGTCCTACGCTGCCCGCAGGTTCTTTCCGTAACCTACATCAGGTCGTCGGTCCACTTAGTGAATTCACTCACATAAATTCGCCTCTAAAGCAACCCGCCCGATATATTCCAAATGTTCAAAAGGCCCCATGTTCGTAAGCCTTGCCAGATTGTTGACGAGGGTCCGTGCTTGGCTGTTGAAGACCCCAATGAAGCCATCCACCACCTGCTGGCCGAATGCTGGATACAGCAGCTTCTGGTGTTTCTTCCAAACTGTCACTGGAAAAGGAACCGACAGGCGTAGACTGTAGAGTAGAGTTTTTGTTACACTTGCATTTTATCAGCTTGCTGAAAAGCAAACATTTATTTTCTTTCGCGATATGACGGCTTTTTTCTACGTTGTTCTTATTTTTCAGAACTTGACAGACAACTTCTACTGCTATTATATACCTAGGCATTATCTAAAAAATAGAATAGTGATTTGATATCGTGAATACTTTTTCTTTATCAAGCTGAGACTTACAAAACATTCGAAGTGAAAAATTCTGAATCTTTACCTGGAGCAGTGACTAGTCCATCACCCACCCAGACACTCAAGAGTTTCCGATAAAAGTAGTTTTTTTCCAAACAAGCACCCATCACCGTGAAATAATCTTCGGGGTCGCAGATCGCTGGAAAATTTTGTAATATTGTCATAAGTCGGTTGTTAATCTTACATAATTAATATTAACATACTTACGTGAAAAGTATTCATAAAAACAAAACTCGTGAGTTGTCAAAACATGTACAGTCTCCGTCAAATAGTTAGTGACACCAAAAGTGGCCAAAAAAGTTGACAGCAACCTTATTTCAATGTAAGAAAGACGTGTTGCGAACTTTTTGGCTACTTTGGGTGTTACTGGTATTACGAACTATTTGACGCTGACTGTACCTACTTGTACCTAACACTGCTAACACTCATATATGATTCCGGGAATCAAAGAAAGTTCTTTGTCAATATCACCTACTTACAAAACTTTTTTTAGAAACTTTCATATCAAGTAAATAGGTCGGTATGCCTATAATCACTTACCGTAGTATGACATAGGTCCTATTTTGAAATGCATAACGCCATCATTCTTCAGGCATTCCCTTTGTATATCTTCAAGCAGATTCCATAACCCTGCAATTTGAAAGCATACCTAGGACTATATTCATTTAGGTAAAGTTCTAACTACCTACTTACTTAGCTTACATTACATAATATAAGAGATCTTTGCTGTCAACTGTCAATCGTAAGATTTGGTGTTAGGAAAATAACTACACCCTTAATTTTTCTAAATATTAAATTAAAACATTCTTACGTTTCCCATTTCCCACCAACAAATGCGCGTGACCAATGATCGGCAAACATCCAGGGTAAGTCGGGGGTAGATTACCCTTAAAACCTTTTCTTCGGGAAATTACCCACACACCACATAACACTACCACAAACAANATGGTTACAGGGTTATCCATTGTTTTTGGGACACCCTGTATAATATATTGGGAGCATACGCTGACAAACTTTCAGCTTTTATAAAATGACGTAGGTCTGGCGTTCACTAGCTCTTAGTCTAGAAGTGGAAATAATTAAATTTGATTGGTTATTCAACACACATTTGCTCCGCTCCGCTCCGCTTTGGTGGAAACAGGGCCTAATATTCTTAGTGTTTATTTTTTTCACGTTTCCACATGTTATTATTTACCTATCTGTTTGTTTACTTACGTTGAGTTTTAAACATGTCTTTGATGCGGTCTAAGTGAGCTTAACCTTAGACCTTAGCATAATGTACTCACTGGTTTACATCTTATTAGTTAATATTTTCAAATGTTATCTTTATAAATTAGTGTTACCTTGAAGAGGTTTCACGTAGTGTGAGAAGTTCTTTTATAGTAAAATAATTTTAAGTAGAGCCAACAGAATAAAAGATACCAATTTTTTCAATAAAAAACTTCATTTTCAACATTTAAAATAGTGGTCCTAATATTGAACCCTGAGCAACTCCTAGTCAAAAAGATAGGTAACTTACCAACTTTATTTGTTTGCCCAGCACCAAGTCTATCTTTCATTGCTCTTCTTTTTTGCTGTATTATCTAAAACGAAGTTGATATAACTTAAAACACTAAATCTAGACAAATATAGAAATAGAACTAACCAAAATAACAGTTGATGATATCTTCACAGCACTAAATAATAGATTTTACACAGCTTTAAATGATGGCAGTTGACATTGATATTAGAGACATGAAAGACATCTAGGTACAAACTGATCGAGTTAACTGCCACCTCACTGGAATGCGACTCCCTCGCAGTTACCCGCGTTCACCCGGTCCGTACTAGACCGTTGATGTGACGTCACGGCTGCCATGTGCGCAGTTAACTCGACCGGATTGTATAGAAATAAGAATACAAACATAAATAAGGTTAGTTATCATTGATTACCTCATCATTCATCGTTTGAAGCGTCTTCAAAGCTTTTTCCTGACGTTTCTTGAGTTCAGTCCAACCGTATACAAAATTGTTATGCATCCAAACATTTTGGATCCTTTGGATCATAATTCTCCGGATATCATCAAAACATCTCATGTAAACCTCCATTTTTTCGATGTTTTTTTCGTTTAGCTCTAAACCGAATGCGGTTACTGTAAGAATTTTAATAATTAGGTATAGGTAAATTATGCCGGTCATACTCATACCTCAGGCACTGAGTTAAGCGGTAGAGCTATAGTTAATGTAAGACGAACCTTCAAAGAATCGACTAAGTACGGTATAAAACTGGTTACGAATCCTGATCGTCATAGAAATACTGACTAGGGAGTTAAGGTTTGCTAAATGCAACCGAGTAAGATAGTCAGTGAATGGTTTAAATATCAGAAATATCTGAACAGCAAATGTTTCGAAATAATTCATCTTGGCGTAAAGGTTAACTAACGGAAGGAGAATACGATATGGCATTCAGTTTGTACTCTGTTCAAAGTGCAAATAAGGTTTGCCCTTTAGCTTCGTCAGAGTCAGGTAAAAATTCGTTCGTAAGAATTCGGTGGCGTTATTTAATGACGTCCAGTGCTCGACAAAGGCTCCCCAAGGGTTTTCATAACGACCGTTCCTACGCTGCCCGCAGGTTCTTCCCGTAACCTTCATCAGATCGTCGGTCCACCTAGTGAATTCACTCACATAAATTCGCCTCTAAAGCAACCCGCCCGATATATTCCAAATGTTCAAAAGGCCCCATGTTTGTAAGCCTTGCCAGGTTGTTGACGAGGGTCCGTGCTTGGCTGTTGAAGACCCCAATGAAACCATCCACCACCTGCTGGCCAAAAGCTGGATACAGCAGCTTCTGATGTTTCTTCCAAACCGTCACTGGAAAAGGAACAAGCGTAAACTGTAGGTGTAGGTACTTTTTGTTACACTTGCATTTTATCAGCTTGCTGAAAAGCAAAGATTTCCTTTCGCGATATAACGGCTTTTATTTCTGCTTGTTCATATTTTTCAGAACTTTACAGACAACTTCTACTGCTATTATAGGCATTATCTAAAAATTATAATAGTGATTTGATAACGTGAATTTTTCTTTATCAAACGCTCTACCTGAGACCTGTGGTAGTGCTTGTTATTATTCTGTGCTGAGACTTACAAAACTGTCAAAGTGAAAAATCCTGAATCTTTACCTGGAGCAGTGACTAGTCCATCACCCACCCAGACACTCAAGAGTTTCCGATAAAAGTAGTTTTTTTCCAAACAAGCACCCATCACCGTGAAATAGTCTTCGGGGTCGCAGATCGCTGGAAAATTTAGTAATTAGTCGGATGTTAATCTTACATAATTAATATTAATATACTTACGTGAAAAGTATTCATAAAAACAAAACTCCTGAGTTGTCAAAACATGTACAGTCTCCGTCAAATAGTTTGTGACACCAAAAGTGGCCAAAAAGTTGACAACAACCTTATTTCAATGTAACAAAGACGTGTTGAGAACTTTTTGGCTACTTGTATCTAAGAAACGGATTGACACACATCTCAGTATCAAAGACGAAAGTTCTTTTTGAATATTACTTATAGATGACCCGCGCTGAACTGTCCCACCAAACTCAATGACAGGGGGGCGCTACCATCGTTCAACTATATGGTTTCCAACGTGACAAAAATCGGAACCAGCGATCCGGTATTGACGGTGGCGCCCCACTGTCAATGTCATGCATAGGACAGTTCAGTATTTTGGAACTATAACTTCTTTTTAAAGAAGCTTTCATGCTATAGATAGATCGTTTATCTTTATCATCTACTAGCTGTGCCCGCGACTTCGTACGCGTGAAAACCCGTTTTCGCAACATTTTTCATTATTGCTCTGTTCCTATTGATCGTAGCGTGATGTTGTATAGCCTATAGCCTTCCTCGATAAATGGGCTATCTAACATTGAAAGAATTTTTTAAATCGGACCAGTAGTAGTTTCGGAGATTAGCGCGTTCAAGTAAACAAACAAACTCTTCAGCTTTATAATATTTTATATTAAGTATAGATCATCAAACGATATATAAGTAAAGTGGTAGGTTTGCATAATAATCACTCACCGTAGTATGACATGGGTCCTATTTTGAAATGCATAACGCCATCATTCTTCAGGCATTCCCTTTGTATATCTTCAAGCAGATTCCATAACCCTGCAATTTGAAAGCATACCTAGGACTATATTCATTTAGGTAAAGTTCTAACTACTTAGCATTACATAATATTACATTACATATAGAGATCTTTGCTGTCAATCAAGATTTGCTGTTAGGAAAATAACTACACCCATAATTTTTCTAAATATTAAAGAAAAAAACATTCTTACGTTTTCCATTTCCCACCAACAAATGCGCGTGACCGATGATCGGCAAACATCCAGGGTAAGTCGGGGGTAGATTACCCTTAAAACCTTTTCTTCGGGAAATTACCCACACACCACATAACACTACCACAAACAATAAAATGTACATTTCAAAAACTAATTATCAACTTCATGTAACTCCTCTACTCGACCGCAAACTGATGTTTTGTCTGAGGTTTCCTAGCTAATAACTTAAAGCAGCTTCTTAAATTAACGAGCAATAACGACTGGTTTAAATTAATATTTTCTTATGTCTAATGCTCTAACACGGTTTCTCAAAGTGGGGAATGCGATAAGTCTTCGACAGACTTTGACACCAGGCGGTCGCGACGATCTAAGGTTATGGCCGGGTACTCGCGACACCCCACTCCGGCGATGACGGAACGCCACGGAGGTTTTAGTGGGTATACCCCGTCCTTTTCAGGACGGAGCAGCGCCCTTTTCAGGGCGCCGCGAGTCCCACACACCACCCTGTCCCCCGGCATTGGTGAACGGTGCGCAAAGCATTTACTCCGCGACAAAAAAAAAGGATTCGCGACTACATTTACGCAATAGTGGCAGAATGAAGGTTTAAATATTATCCAAAATTATTACTCGTAATATTGACTCCATTTGCGAAAAGAAACAGGCACACCCATCACATGTTAAAAAGACGTTTCTTTGGCACTTTATTTGGTACCTTTTATTGAAATCAAAACCTTATTTTTCTTCAAAAAGGGGTTCGCTGTCCCCTGGAAACTTTAACATGGGTTCGTGGAGCCGAAAGTTTGAGAAACCCTGCTCTAACACACGCGAAACGTTTGACCACCTTCTACAAACAACACAGTTTCAACCGTGACTTTGCCCAGCCGAGGTTTTAGGAGACCGCGTGAAACTCGTTCGTATACGTAGGTCATAATTATTAATCTGTCCTAAGAGTCATTTATTTTTTGCTAATAGGCTCTAAAAAGCGCTTTTATGGTTCGATCAAAATAACGCGTGCAGCCCACGCGTTATTATGGCGATCAATGCGTTTACGTCTGATCGCCATCGCTCGTCAGCACGCGTTGGTTTAGTTGAACCTTTACACGTCCCAGTTACCTTACAACTGCTTCAGAACAACATGTGGGCCAGTACTAAGAAGAAGCAGTGCAATCATCATCATCATCTCAGCCATAGGACGTCCACTGCTGAACATGGCCTCCCTCAATGCTCCATGTTGCCCGGTTGGTAGCGGCCTGCGTCCATCGCCTTCCTGCTACCTTTACGATATCATCGGTCCACCTTGTGGGTGGACGTCCCACGCTGCGTTTTCCGGTACGCGGCCTTCACTCCAGACCTTGCTGCCCCATCGGCTGCAGAAGCATAAGCAGTGCAAGATAATCAGAAAAAACTATTATTGACCTCTTTTTAAAGGTTTTTAATAATATTTCTAGTTGCAAGCTAGGCCTTGTTTCAGTGTTGAATCTCATTTTCCTTTGGAACATTCCCGTATCCATATCACGAGAATTAATACCTTAATGTACCTCCAACAACTACAATTTCTTTCACATGCTGTCGTTTATCTTAACGTATTGCGGCTGTAATGTGTATGATGCTTTATAAATGTACTAAATTTTGCCCGCGGCTTCACTCGCGTGAAATTAAGTTTGTCACATATCGTCGTAAATTATAGCCTATAATTATGTTATTCTGGGTTATAAACATTAATACTGTAAACTGTAGTTTCAACAAAATACGTTCAGTAGTTTTTGCGTGAAAGAGTAACAAACATCCAGACATCCAAACTTTCGCATTTATAGTATTACTTAGTAGGATAATTGTAGAATCCCATTAACGACCAGTGTGGTCAAAGGTTGTTTTGATGGTTAATGGAATAGATAAAAATAATAACTTATTTATTTACTTATGTTCGTGAAACAAACAACAAGTGCCAATCAGTTATTTCAGTGTGTTACGCCTTTATTATGCAGCAAAAGCTAGCTGCCTTTTCCCTAATAATTTAAAAAACTTATAATTTGGCCTTTATACCTTTACGAGTAATTTTGTAGAACTACCAAAACTGAATGATGAAACTGAAATCGCTCAAAGTGCCTATTTCCGCTGGCCATCACACCGCATCTGCATTCTGCGCACATTTATATTTGTGCTGCGGATACTGTGCGCAACGTCACAACACAAAAACATTGCAGTTAAAATTAGTTGCTAAACTTTTTGCTTCATTAGTATGCATTGCGTGAATATGAGTGCAATGTATTATGAAAAACCGGTGCATTCAGTATTTGATTTATGGATAGGTTTGGGTAATCAGTGCATAACGCTAACTCAACGGCTTATAAACAATACCTATTTACCTACACATTGTTTATTTATCATCATCATCATCATTTCAGCCACACATACACTGATGAACATAGCTGGTTTCCAGCAACCATATTTTGGCGTTGTAGTCTAAGGCACAAAATACTATTTATATATTTATATTTATATATATTTTGCGTCTAAGGGCTCCTGCACACGACGCCGCCACCGCGCCGCCTGGCGAAATTAGACTACAACGCCAAAATATGGTTGAATATAAACAATAAAGTAAATGAATAAAAACAATATTATGTAGAAAAAATATATTTTGAAAAATCATAGCTTAAGAAAAAATACGAAGCCCTTTTTCCTGTCCATAACATTTTTTTAATACAATCCCTCATAGACTGCCCTTACTCTAAAGCCTCTGACACAAGCTATGTTTGAATTGAAAGAATTATTTGAGTATCAGACTCAACCCTTCTGTTTGAACGTATAAAAATTACACCCTGTATACCAGGGGTTCCCAACAAGTGGTCCACGGACCACCGGTGGTCCGCAGGAGTTAAATGGGGTCCGTGAATGATATTAAATTTTGCAAGCAAGAGACTTGCGTGTTAGAAGAAGGTTTAAGTAATCACTACAGAACTTGTACAGAAGAATGCAAGCTCAAAGATGAAATTAATACGAATGTAATTAATTGATTTGGTATCGTATTTGATTTTCTAAATCAAGCTGAAGAAATCAAGATGAAATAATGTTTATTTGAGATATAGATAGGTACCTTGGTTTGTTTTTTTTAAACGGTGTCTGCAAACAATAAAGAAACCAAAATTGTCCCTGGTCCAGAAAAGGTTGGAAACCCCTGCTGTTTACGGAAATGTATTTGAAAGTAATGTGAACACGTACCTAATTTACAATTATTTCTACTTTCTTAACAATAATCTACCAAATCCTATGTTCTAACGTGATGTGGTGTCCAGCTATAGGTTTCGTCAGTATTTCCATCTTCATATCCAGCTTGGTGTAGTCCCCCTTTATTTTGTAGTGGCGGACTATATGGCTGAGTATGGTTTTCAGTGACATCAGGGCATAAGCTTTACCTGTAATAAATAAATAATTTGAAACTTGATTAAACGTTGGAACTTTAGTGAAACGCCTGTAAAGTCAACTGGGCAAGAGTGATATTTCAGTATTGGTCGATTAAATGTTGGACGAGATCCATTTGTTCATGTGGTACTCCAGGTGGTTATTTAAAATCATCATCATCAGGTCATTAGACTTCACTACAGCAGCATGACCCTCTCTAATTTACCAGAGGCTTCAGAGGATTTTACCTATACTCCCAGGTCTGACAGATTTATCTGGTTTTACAAGTAATGCCTGCACGATATTTGGATGCCTTTGATGTGAGCACTACCGTTTTTGAGTTGGATCCGTGACTGTGAGGGCCCCTGCCTGGTACATTATATTTTTGTCCCTTTTATACTGTACGAATGAAGTTACCTATACAAGATCGCCTCCCGACTCCAAAAGTAGCGAAACTATTAGGATTCTCAGGAAGTTTAGAAGGGTCCAGCCACCGTTCAGGCTTGAACTCATGCCGGTCTTCGCCCCACACGGGGTGACGGCAAGTCGCGTAGATCAGCATGATGCACTCGCTTCCAGATTGTAGTGTGTAGTTTTCTGAAAATTTGTAAATGTCATGATGGTACGTATACAATAAACTCACGCACGCCCGCATTCACAAACTTTACTATGAGATCTCGCAGTACGCGTGTACGCACAGGGTGACATACGAACCAATCACAGAGCTCTATTCAACGCTGTGCGTTCTAATTACTGCTTCACTTAAGCAAGGATAGTTTGTGAATACGGGCGTTAATGTATTATGTTAAGCTTTTTTTATATAGAGCATAGAATCGTTATTTTGGCTTCGTTCTGACTTTTCTTGACCCAGGAAAATGGCCTGCCCAGTGTCCACCCATGGATACCTGCCGCCGGGTGTGGCAGTTATGTCAGACTCGAGCTCGTGGAACCCACTAAAAACTTAGACCTCTACCCTTCTGAGAACGTCCCCTCTTAGAGCGCAACCACATACCTCCTCCAAGAGTAGTAGACTTGGCATACCTAACTGAACATCTTTATCCAATTCCCTGATGATGATAGGAGCAATAGGAAAGATTCGTAAGGTCTCCTTTATCACTGCCTCCAAATACACCAACTTCTGTAGGTCTTCCTTATCAATATCATTGTCTTTAATCTTGAGAACTTCCTGCAATCTGAAAAAAGAAATGGAATAGTGTAAAAAAACAGGTAGGTGTGTAATGTAAAAAACATTAACTCATGCAACAGACTTGATAAGACTGTAATAAATACTTGCAGGCCTTTAAAAGACTGACCTGAGTCATATTTTATTTGTTAATTAGGTCACTTTCTAAAAAAATATACCATAACTTTTCTACAAATTTGCGTTCGTGGACTTACTCAAGAAAGGTCCGTTCTTGAATATCAGGGTACGATCCTAGCACCACCAATACATAAATTAGAGTGGTGGCCACAGTGTCGTACCCAGCAAATATCATCGTGTCCAGTTCTTCTCTTATTTCTTCAACTGTCAAACCTCCTTTAGTGACGTCTAAGATTACATCCAGTAAGCCCTTAACTTTATTGTTATCTGTAAATTCAATAAAAGTAAATCAAAAATTGATATTAAATCATAAGAAAGTTGAAGTTCAAAGCTAGACTAGTGGAGGTGGGAACGAAGGTAAGTGTCGTAAGTACTGACCAGTTTTGGAATTTGGAGATATCTTTGGAGTAATTTCACTTTCTGATTTTTTCTTCTTAATTATCTAGAACAAAAGAGTACCTATAAAATAGTTATTTTTAAAATTGTTAGCCTTGCAATATTACTAGTTTTGCTTATTTTATTTACCTCAAAAGACACATCGCAAGTGGTCTTAATAGCCTTATCCTGCTTCTTCTTCAGATTGGAGAAGCTGTAAATGAATCGGCTGTGCATCCAAACGTGCTGAAACCTCTGGATTAGGATGTTGGTCACCTCCTTGAAAGCCTGGATGTAAGAATCCATTTTGATCTCTTTATCGTTTCTAGCAGCACCAAACGCGATACCTTTGGACAAACAATAAAGAAAATTGATTAACTCCTACTGCTACTACTTAGGCTGGGTTGCACCATCTTGAACTTTAACAAACGCCTGTCAAACTCCATACAAAAACACCGGTTCTGGTTATTTACGGTAAAAGTAAGGAGGTGCAACTCAGCCTTGTTAGGCTAATATTTATCAGTGGCCAGAATTTTATGGACATAGCATTATTTGAAGAATTTCATTGTGACATTCATTGGGTACAAGAAGCCTAGAAGTAAAAAATGAAAATAAGACTTTAATATTTGGCACACAGAATTTGAAGCTACTCCCGTAGATGACGTTATTCTATGTTCTTCTGATTAACTTTCCCAGGGACAAACTTGATCTTCACTGATTGAGTTTTTATTGGCGGTCAAGCTGTAGATCCTGGCTACACAGGAGTTGCAGCGGTGGGAACGAGAGGTGGGAATAGTCCCGTAGAGTGTAGGTAGCTACTTATACTGTATTTTTTTTTCCATGTCGCTAATTTTCACATCACTCATCACCTCATTGCGAAGATAAAAGCTATTGATTCAGATACTCACGGAAACTGGCCTCAAGAATGGCTTTGTCCAAATAAGGCACAGGATCAAACGGAGTCTTCCCCACCTCAGCTGCCATATTCTCTACCAAGATCTTTCCATGGCTGTTTATTATACCCAGGAAGCTCTCCAGGACTTGCTGCTTGAAGACTGGATTCAGCATCTTGCGGTGGACCTTCCATGTGGGAACTGTTAGGTAGAAGAAAAAGAAGTTATTTAATTGTAACGTACTGAAAGACTATGCAGACAGTCCCCACCCTATAAAGACCGACGACTTGGTGATGGTTGCATGAAGCACCTTGAAGCGCGTTGCGTTGGACTGGTGAAAATCCTTGGTCTTTATCTAGCAGTGGACATCCTTCGGTTGAAAAGGGACACCAACGATACGTAATAAGTAGGCTAAGCTTTGGGATATGCTGTGTTGTGATTTGGATGATTGTTGGAGGGAAAGAAAATACTTGGAACATCAGCAAAATATGTTCTCGTATTACGAGTAAAAATTGTTATGATAATGTTAAATGTTTACCTAATCTTTTAACTTATTAGATTTTCACTAATTGATCTTATTTAAAAAGGTACTATCTACGATTTTTTATTTAGTATACCTATGGATAGTCAAATATATTTCACCTGATGCAGTCACCAGTCCCTGCCCGACCCAAGAGCTGACGATGTTGCGGTAGAAGAAGCTCTTCTCGAAGCAAACGCTCGCCACTTTTGTGCAGTCTTCTGGATCGCTTAGCGCTGTAATAAAATAATAAACAACTTCAGCCGCCAAATTATAGAGCTTTTATTTGAAGACCTGTCGCTTTCTATCGCTTAAACCTCTGGAACGAATTAGATGTGACTTGGAATTTGAGACCCGAGAAAACTTACGAGTAGGTATGTTAGTCTTTATACTAGACTATACTTAGCTAATTAATTACTCACCGTAATATGTTTTTGTGCCTATCTTTATGTACGTCACTCCGCCATTGTCTAGATTATGTTGTTGCATGCATTTCACAAACTGCCACAAATCTGTAAATTTAAGAAATGACCCTTGAACTTTCGAATTTACTTACACATTTTATTTGAAAAATAGCAGTGCCCGCGACTTCGTACGCGTGAAAATCATTTTTGCTTTGCACCTATTACTAGTAGCGTGATGGTATATAGCCTATAGCCTTCCTCGATAAATGGGCTATCTAACACTGAAAGAATTTTTCAAATCGGACCGGTAGTTCCTGAGACTAGCGCGTTCAAGTAAACAAACAAACAAACTCTTTAGCTTTATAATATTAGTATAATTATGTAGATAGTGAAATTTTTTCAAAACCTTATTCCAATAATATGGATAATAATATTGTATATTGTGTCTCAATTCGCCTGTAAACAACGTTTAATATTTACATAGAGCCACATACATCTAAATTTCATTTTTAAGGATAATAAACTTAGAATGTATCGAAGCAATTTTCGTGATTGCTTTATTGAATGTATTGATTGATTGAAGAAATTGAGGCGCAAGTAAATCGTGAATTCTATGTGATAAAGCTGATTAAAACGAGTTGATACCTTTTACTCCACCGGGAATCGAACCCAGGCTGCTATTGCGCTATTAGGCCTTACCTTTTTTGACGTTTGTTAAAGTCAAAGTAAGATGGTGGAACCCAGCCTAAGTACCTAACAAGAGAGAGTTTATTAATCAAACCTTTCAAAAATAAAAGTACCTCAGGGCTAGTTACTTACGTGCTGTATCCCCAACCAACAAATGAGCATGCCCAATTATGGGCAAAGCGCCCGGGAATGCTGGGGGCTTCTTAACATTCGGCTTGAGCACCCAATAGCACGCGAACGCCAACAACAACACGAATGCTTGTATAAACACTGTTATGTACATGACTATGTAGTGCGAGTGGTGCTACGTGACTGTTACGGACACTGAATATAACTTAATCAACATAATAGGTACCAAGCCGTCAATAATTGATGTTATGTATCAAGGGGTTATTGTCGATGTGCCGAAAAAAACAGTGTAGGTATATTCGTCATATTTTTATTATTTTGGAGTGTAATTGTACCTAATTTTATAACGTTTATTTACTTTCAGAAATGTGACGAATCGACTTCGTAGCAAATTGACATTAATCAGGATAGAGGCCTTCGGCCATAAACACTTTCGTGGACTGTAACGTCCACAGGAGTAGTAAAAATAGAATGATACAAATTAACATAAAGCAAAAATAAATAAAATTGTTGTACCAAATTGGTACCAAATAGCTTAAAACTAGGTTCAAACTGAAGCATAGATTCATTCCAGTAATTCAATTGAACCCAGGACCTCCAAAAAATATGTTTTCTTCTTCTTTTTCTTGCCTAGAGGCATGTCTCAAGAACTAGTTTCTAGGAAATAGAAATAAAACTGAAAAACTTGTTTACTTCTTTCTTTCTTCCAATTTAATACAGCTTTATTTACACGATATATTATAGATAGATTATGCTAATCATGTTTTTGTGTTGTCACTAAAATTTCCATACCCAAAAATGTTTATTCTTACATAAACAATATTAAGTTCAGTTCATTTTGTGTACCTAAATATTTTTTTCTACGAAATGATTTTAAATTGACAGCAGGCTCATAATAATTAACAAATCATATTGGTTATAAATACTTTATTTACATAATTCTGTACATAAGTAATTGTTATTAGTCAACCGTATTGATTGCTTAATTAAGATATTGTACCATGTCCATTTATTATAATTTAGTCAGTTTCTCAATAGTTTATGTAATACGATATGGTTATGTTGTTTACCAATGCACTTACTTATATACTTATTAACTCTGAAGTCCAACTTTAACTGTCAATCAACACTGTCATGAGTGGAAAAGCTAGAAAGAGCTAAGTAATAGTCAGGTAGGTAAGTAAGGTTTTCCGACAGACCACTACACTTTCTCAAAATTGATTCATCCAGGTAGCTGCATCTTCTTGTCTTATTTAAATAGTACCTATTAAAGTAACTTCTGGCAGCAAAGATCTGGAGTGGAGACCACGTACTGGTAAACGTAGCGTGGGACGTCCACCCATAAGGTGGACTGACAACTTCATAAAGGTAGGAGAAAGGCGCTGGATGCAGGCCGCTACCAACCGGGCGATGTGGAAATCATTGGGGGAGGCCTATGTTCAGCAGTGGACGTCCTGTGGCTGAAATGATGATGAAAGTGTCTTCGATCTCTTCTCCAAAGCGATATAATGCCCTGACACTGGTGTGAGTAGCAGTTCTTGGTTGATCACCAACTTTTTTATATCAGCAATCACTTTGTAGTCCCTTAGCAGATGGATCAGAATGACTTTCATCGAGTTTAAGGCCAGTTTCATTCCTGTAATACAAATGATATTATTATGTAAGTTATTTATTTTTCTCTTAATAACATTGTAGCTAAATATTAAGATTTTTTTCTCTTTTGTTTTTGTTGTCAAAACTTAAGTTAGGCCCATCATGACCTTTATCTGCGGTATAGCGGAGTAGGCAATTATCCGTCTACTAGATGATTTATTTATATCAGGTGCTTAAAATGTTATTTACTACTATTTATTCAATCTTGGACTGTACTGTGACACAACAGGTTAATTCCACCTGGGAATTGACCCCAGGATCTCTATTGTTACCTATCTAGGTATGGGTGCCTCTGGTCGAGAGTTCACCTCTTTTTGAAACTGGTAATAGCTGGTATTATAAACATTTATAAACGACACAAAACAAAAGAAAGAAGTAACAAAAGAGAAGGCACGATTTATGCAATGTTATCGCTATGAAGCGATCTCTACCAGACAACCTAGGGAGAAGGCAGTTGCTTGAAATAAAATAAAAATAAATAAAAAAATTTTTTTACTTGGTAGTTACCTACTAAATAAAAAAAACATTTCTTTAAAATTATCACTTCACGGGATTTATTGCAACAATATCTATTTTAACGGTAAATAAAATATTTACCCTACCGACGTTTCGGCTCGGTTCCACGAGTCATGGTCGCGGGCAGACTGAAGAGATGCGGCGTCGTCGTAGATATTGTTGCAATAAATCCCGTGAAGTGATAATTTTATAGTAAAAAATGCAACATAATAGTTTTAAAATCTATACTTATAATAAATCTGTAGAGAGGTCAATAACTGTACATGAAATATATTTTCAAAATAACTATCAGGGGGTGATAAGTGATCGATACTGATGCCAAAAATGCAATCAGTAAAATTTTTGTCTGTCTGTCTGTCTGTATGTTCCTTATAGAAACAAAAACTACTCAACGGATTTTAACGAAACTTGGTACAGTTATTCTTCATACTCCTGGGCATTTATAGGATACTTAAGAATTCCCACGGGAACGGGAATTTGCTGGAAAATCCTTTTGTATGAAAAATCTAAACCGCTTAAGTTAGACGCTTGAAAGGACAATGACCAAAAATGTATGGAGTGTGGTCCAAATGTCCACCACTAACGAGACCTATGTAGTAAAATAGTCTACTAAATACTGACTCATTATAACCAAACCGCAATCAAAAATATGCTGTCAGTAAAAAGTTATGACTGAATGAAAAGTCATGTTTTTTACCTTTTCATCCGAAAAATGTTCTTGATATCATTCTATCCATCGCACATTTTGGATTAATCTATGCATGTTATATCATGTCGCTTAGTGTGCCGTGTTAGATTTTCGCTAAAAGAAAAAAAGACAACAATATTGGAATTATGGTCGGGTGGTCGCTGCTCCGCCCCTATTGGTTGTAGGGTGATGTTATATTAACCTAAACCCATCCTTGATAAATGGGCTATCCATAACAAAAATATTTTTTCAAATCGGACCAGTAGTTCCTGAGATTAGCGCGTTAACTACTACAATTTTTCATACGGTCATAACTTTTAACTGACAGCTTATTTTTTTTTCGGCCCATACTGAAAGTTAATCTCTATTTAATGGACTATAAGCCAATATAGGTCTCATTAGTGGTGGACATTTGGACCACTTTTGGTCATTGTCCTTTGGCATGCAGATACCTTAGTAAGCTTAGAGCTTAGTTACAACAGGATATTGCTAAATACCCACGGGAACGGGAGTTAGCGGGAAAAAACATTTGTATGAAAAATCTAAACCGCTTAAGTTAGACGCTTGAAATTTGGCATGCAGGTACCTTAGTAAACTTAAAGCTTAGTTACAACAGGATATTGCAAAATTCCCACGGGAACGGGAGTTAGCGGGAAAAAACATTTGTATGAAAAAATCTAAACCGCGTAAGATAGATAGATGAAGGGGGCAAAACGGGATCCACGCGTACGAAGTCGCGGGCGGCCGCTAGTATTAAAATATTTCTTTCAAACATACCAATACACGAACGTCTTCCCAAGCCAAATGTAGCATACGGTGGTCTTGAGGTCCCATCCAGCCACCTCTCAGGCTTGAAGGCTTCTCTTTCAGCTCCCCAGGAGTGGTGGCGGTTCATGGCATGGATGAATAATAAGCAGTTGCTGCCAGGGTCGATGGTGTATTTACCTAAAACGAACATAAAATTATAATAATGTAACAGAAATCAAGCTCCCGCCATGCTTAACGAAGCACTTAATACTTACCCCTACCTACTTACCAAAAGCTTCTTCAAGCAACAGAAATCATTGCAACAAAAGCTCCCGCCATGCTTATAAAAGCTCTTTTAGGTAAGTACCCCTACTTACCAAAAGCAAAAATAATTGAAAGCGAAATCTCTCTGACTAGGGAAATAATGGACTTGGGGGTAGGTAATTGGGTGTAACATTTATCTAAAACTGAAAGAATTTTGATGCAGTTTCAATCTTCACGCTAATTACAGAGCTTTTAGTTTTTAGATACCTAGCCTAGGTAGGTTAATTAAGTATAACTTTTATTCGTAATCATACTTACTAAGGTCCATAGAATTCTTAGTTTTCCTTGTTATAATGCTAACCACTGGATATAAACGCAAAACTTCTAAAATTACAGCATGTAAATAAATGAAATTATTCAGATCGTCCATGTTTACTTCTCGTGTTGAATCGCTCAATACATTTTGAATTCTGTAAACAATATTTTTATAAATTGAAAGGATACAAGTACTTACTTAGGTATTCAATAAAAGAAGAGAAAGATAAGAAAATTTTATAGAGTGGGTTCAGTAAGTATCGAACCAAAACCTAGCTAACTATTATAGGTAGGTAACTAACTTTAATAGGCCAGGTGCTATTCGTGCAGGTGCTATTTAGGAAATGGTATAAGTACGTCGTTGGGTGCATGACATCATGAGTAATCATGACGTTCTATACCTACGATAAACCCCAGAAGTCCATCGAAGGGGTGTAATAGGAACTCTGATTTAAATGAAATATGCAATAATTCTATGGAGTGTATGAGGTTGATTGAGTTGTTTTGTGTATGAAAGAAGCCAAAACTCTTTGAATTGGTTTGGCGGTTAAAGCATTAAAAAGTATCAATCAAAACCTAATAATCAATTGGCAAATAACCCCTTCTAGCGCAGTCAGGTAAAACACAATTAACTTACTCCGTATAAACACGTTCCTGCACTTCAGGATTGGATCCAATCATGACTAATATAAAAGTCAAAGAATTCACTAGGGTGCTGTAACCGCCAAAAATAATTCCATTGATTTCATCAACTGTGGTCTTTTCAGAGTAGACTCCTTGAATTTCCAGTCCCAATAAAAAGTCCAATATAGTCTTAGGCGCTAGAATTAAAATTTGAAAATGAGGGTAGTTTTCATCATTGTTAGGTATTTCAATCAATAGACTATTTTGTAAAATACGCTTATCCCATTGCTGCGCAAATTGTACCTGAAATACTTTTATTATGACTTACCTGATTCTTTCTGGAACTCTACTCGTTTCTTTATAATTAGCTGAAAACAATTACAATAATAATTATTAAGTTATTAGCAAACTTTACTGGTAGGTAACTCCTTGAGCTTTTGCTAGCCTAGTAGGTATTATGTAAAATCGTTCAACCTTTAATATTCAATGCAAAAATATCCTATTCTTCGAGGAAATAGGTCCTCGCGTTGAAAAAGTTAAAGCAACATTATTATTAATGACGTCCAATGCTGGACAAAGGCCTCCCCCAAGGATTTCCACAAAGACCGGAAGTTTTTCGGCTTTATTAAAATTTATTGTGCAGTTGTTTTTAATTAAATTACCTCATTAGTCAAAGCCTTCATAGTCCTAACACATGCATCTTGTCTCCGTTTTAATCTAGACAATCTGAAAATAAGCGTTTTATGCTTCATAAATGACCGATGCCGTTCATAAAGCACTTCCATTGTTTCTTGCATGCACGTCTTGTGGGATGCCATAGTCTGCAGCTCATCTTCAATGTCACCATAAGTAGATTCTAGAGAAAATAAACGGTTATTTTAAAATTTTTGTTTTAATTTGTGTGTTTTTATTATTCTTTAAACTTGTAAACTGACTTCAAGAACCTACCTACATCATCATCATTATCACCATCCTTTAGTTAAATTCTAACTGTTAGATCATTACAGGTTTACAGCAACTGGATCTTTCATCATCATCATCATCCATCATTTCAGCCACAAGACGTCCACTGGTGAACATATACATAGGCCTCCCCCAAAAGTACCTAAGCTTACTGTAAAAATTAAGTCTATAATAATACTTATCAATTATTCTTCTTTAAGTAACTTATTAAACCNATAAAACTTACTGAGCAAAATTCCCATTGCAGCATTTTGTAAGCATTCCGTCTGATCAAAAAATCCTTTTCCAACTTTGGATTCCAACTCTTCAACCAGGATCTTCGCGTGTCGGTTCCACACTCCCGTCCGAGCTGCTGCATCAAACATCGGCTCCAAAAGAGTGCGACGCTTGTCCCAGTCTGGAACTAAAATTGGCATAAATATCACGATAGCCGAGCGGGGAAAAAAGGGTCGGACTGGCTGACTCATCATTAGAGAAACACGAGTTCGAACCCCGCCGCCACTCGACTAAGTATTGTAGTGAGCTCACTCGTGATACAAGCATAATCTAGCTTAGTACGAGGGGCTAACGAGACTATTATTATTTGTACAAAGCAAATTTTCTAAAATTCTTAAAAAAAATAGCGCCATGTAGAGTTAAGTACATACCTACTTAGGTAACTAAGCTTTTTGAGACGGAGAAACCTATGTGTTTCTTTCTATTGTGCACAAGTAGACCTAATTAATTAGGTAGGTACATGATGTACCAGATACCTACCAGTAGTTTTAGTTGCCAGTGCCTGACCGAAAAATGCTTGCAAAGAATCCTCGAGTAGAAAAACTTTTTCCGTGCACGAATTAGCTACTTTTTCACAGTCGTTAGGGTTGGATATTGCTGTAAAACGACAATAATTATTATGAACAATTGCAAACCTTTACACAAACTGCCCAATAGAACCAAGTAAGTAGGAGGTAGGTAGGTACTGTACTATTTGACTACTTAGAAAGTACCTGTACCTAGTTATACTGACCATAGTAAGTGTATGACTGATTGGCCCCTGAATAAAAATAAGTCATGCCTCCTTGTTTTAAACAATCTTCTTGCATATCCAACAATCGAGGCCAAAAAACTGAAAATTAAAAAATCACAGTTTTTAAATATTACCTACTAATTTTACTCTCAACAAATGGTAGAGAATGCATCGTATTGTTATTACCTAAGTCCGCCATTTTTACGTTACTTGCGTGCAATAAAGAGAAACAACATTGTCATACACGCTTTTCTGATAGCGCAATGACGTAATGACAGTTTCCCAGGTTCGATTCCTAACCCGGTCAATTTAGTGAACGATTTATTTTCTAAGTTCCTAATCTAATGTACCTAAAGCGCAGGACCGTGCATTGTGGAAAACCTTGGAGGCCTTTGTCCAGCAGTGGACGTCATTTGGCTGAAACGAACGAACCTAATCTGTTTATCATAAACACTCACGTCCCTTCACCCACAAATGCATGTGCCCAACGATGGGCCAGGCGCCATTGGAAATCGGCGGCAATTTCCCTTGGAGATATTTTCGCCTTCTTCTCCAAGCGTAAACACAGCACAATATACTTGGCACGATTATAAATAATAACATTTTAATGTAACTGTTTCAGAAATAATGGGCACGACGACAAATTACACTACACTCTCTTTTGCAATCGGGTAAGTAAACGCAATGATTTATGGATCCTCTTTTAGAAAAGGTCACTGTGCAATAAACCACTGAACTAAGTACAGTTACAGTTTTGTTGAATTCGCGTTGTTTCAGGAATTCTTAAGTCTGTGTTTACTAAAATATCAGCACCAATATCAATACAGTTATTGGCATTGATTTTGAATGCATTATTTACCTAACTTGGCTGTCTGCAGATGTAGAGTAAGTAAGTACTAAGTATTTAATGTTGAAATCGATCGAGTTACAAGTTTCCTGTTTTTTAAACCCAAAACAAAGCGATGTTTATACTATGAACAACAGGTTGACAAAGATAAACTACATTGGCCCTGTGAGCATCCTGAAAAACAAATATTTTGAGTTTTCCTAGCAGTACATACGTTTTTAGCAACCCCAATGTTTTATTTTCTACTGTGTACCACCTACGCTCTCTAGCTATAGTCTGGTCCGCGAGCGATAAGGATGGGTAGCTTGTTGGGGTCATTGGACAAAATTCTACGTGCTCACAGACCGGGCTTTAGAGTAACATCCAGTTTAAAATATCTGGCCATCTACATATAGGTCCGGGAGTAAGTATTTAAGACAATATTTCTAGCGATACCAGAATAGGTTTTAATTTGAAAATTACATATTCGATTAACGCAGTGGCCAGTGCGTGATGCGTGCCATGTGGGGGAAGGATTTCCTTCATTACGCAAAGATATTATGCATAGGCAGATGCAAGGCTGCGGTTTAGAGATAAGGTAATGCATGATCAGGGCCATCTACAAGGGACCTTAGGCATTTAAGGATTTTCACAGAGATTACAATACATCACAAGTTAGTTTCAGGATTTGTATCGTATTTGCGATCACCAGTTGGCGCCACTGTTTTAGCCACTAGCAAGTGCAAGAACCTTACCTACAGTGGTTCCAACTGAAAGGCATTTAATACAATAATTGCAAATCGGAATAAAACACAATAATAGACATTTATAATATGATTTAATAGAGATTTTAATACAATGTATTACAGGGATTTCAATGGTAATTAGGTACAATAAATGGTGCTTGTAAAAAGTAGGTGTTAATTGTATATTTTTGTAAATAATTATACTGTAAAGAACAGTATTTGTATGATCTTTCTTAGGTCTTAATAAATCCAGGTTTTAAATACAGGCAGATTCATAGACAATTTTTCACTAATCAAGTGCTGTCATATTAAAAACAGTATAGTAAAATCGCGCCAGCAATCTACCACATTACAAATTAAGGCTGAGTCGCACCAACTTACCTTGACGGTAACTTTAACAATAACCGGTGTTTTTTGTATGGACTTTGACAGATATTTGAAGTTTGTCAAAGTTAAAGTAAGATAATATATATCTCAGCCTAAGTAGTCCAATAGATATTCAACTTTAACAACTTGAGTTACAATGGTTCAAAATCTAGACAGCAATTTTACATTTTGTAGTGTGACATTTTTATTGCTACTGTTGAATATTACTTATTAATTGTATTTTTTTGTCTAAATACACTGAGAGTAGGTAATATACTTATTAATAAACTCGTAATATTGTAAATCATATAACGTTACACTTATTCAAAACAATTGTCCAAGAATCTCAAAGGCTTGTATATTCCGCACAATAACTATTTCTTGTTATAGATCCATCTTCACTGTTGCATATCTCATTTAAAATAGTTTATAATAACAGCAACATTTTACCAACAATATCAACGTACCAAATATTGCCAAAGATTACAATGAGGTCTCAGTTTTCAGTTCTTAACTGAAAAATGGTAAAAAGATCTTATAATTTGCCAGCACTTCAAACTACTTTTTGTTACAAATGTGCTGCCATCGGATACTGTTATTCTCGATTTCTTCGAAGTACCATGTGAGGTGTCCATAACAATACCAAATTTTAATCTTTGGCTAATAAATTCCTATTTTACTCAGTCTTCATATTAATGCGAAACGTTTACAAGCCTTTGCACGTCGACTATGCGTCGAAAGCCTCGTGTCATGATGGATGTTGGTCATCATCAGAGTCAAGGTCATCTGAGGAATCTTCTGATGAATCACTAGCAATGTATGATGAGTCATCATCTTCGCTTTCTTCTTCATTTAGTGCATCATTATTAGACCCAAGACCAAGTATATTCAAAGAGGCCATTTTTAGTGCCATTTCATTCTCTAAAATCTGTGAATGCTCAATTTTTACTAGTTGAGCTGCATGTTCTAATTCTTCTAACTCTAGTTCGACATCATTTTTTGAGATCTCGTTTGTTAAGAATTTGATAGTGCAATTTATTGATATCTTCATTGCTGCATTTCTGCAAAAACACTAAATAATCTTTGATGTACAATTGATTTAAAATGTAACGAGCATCATTGCTTTTGTTGAACATTGTGTGGATTTCAATAAAACATTTTATGATGAACTTTTTTCCTTTCTCAAAGAGCAATGTGACATCATTTTTTACCGCTTCACAAAGTTCAAAATTTCTGAATATTGGGAATACTAGAGCCCTTCTGTAACAAGCAATTAATACTTCTTGTATGTCATTGAAGACACAAAACCAGCTCAATGTAGATGATAGTTTATTTATTGTCCAACTGGACTCCACTGTGCTATCATTCAACGTAGTTCTTTTATCGTAGCAGTATCCGTATAAAATGTCAATAATCCCAAGCATAACCTGTTGCTTCTCAGTTTTGGTCAACAAATAGCTTTTGTTTGGAAGCTCCTTCAACACACTAATTTCATCTTCAGTAAAATCTATGTTATTATAGTCAGGACTATCCCAAAACGGTGTGTACTCTAAGTACGGAAATATTAGTTCAGGTTCATACAAATCTGCCAAATAATGGTCTGGTGAAAATTTGTCGTCCTCATACTGTATTCTCAGGTTATTACGATCAGTAATAGCAACGTTTTGGGGATCCCTTAATTCAAATATTTGTGGGTATTCGCTGGCGAGATCTCCAAATTCTGTGGTGAGTTTATTAGCAAAACCGACTGCATATTCAGCAGTGGGATTAATTTCTTCATGTTCATCAAGTGTAATGCCGTCTTCGTCAAGCATTTCGACTAAAGCGGGGTTCACATCAGGTATGTCCCGAGGAGCTAGCAAGCTGGTAATCATGTCTAAGTTTTCAAAGCACTCCCCTGGTTGTTCTTTGTCGAAAGTAAGGGTGAAATCACCAGAATCACACGTGTAAGATCCTTTAGAGCTGTCATTATCCACTAATCTGCCAGGGAGTCGCAATCTCAGGAAATACGGACTGGATACGAAGAGAAAATTCTCCCCGTCCACATTGATTTCTGTATCGCCGATGTTGGTGTAAGGTGCATGTATTGTTATGAACACATGATTCGCGTCCTGCGAAAGTTTGAAGCGCGGAGTCAGCATTTTGAGCACTTGTTCACAAACATTTATCTCACAAATTCGCAGTAAGAAAACAAAACAATCTTGAAAATAAATAAAATCAATAATGTGCAGCGCACATTGCGCACATGCCGCTTCCAAGTTTTTTTGACATTAATTTGACACTGTTTCACATATGTTTTTGTTGATGCATTTCGCAGCTGAAAAATACAAATACCGCTCAATAAAATAAATTAGAAAAGCTGATAAACAAGAAAAGAACTAGTTATAATTAAATTACTAATATTTATTATTTAACATGTAAATAAATCTAAACTTAATGGCAAAAATGTCAACAAGTTTTGTGAGGAAAGGAACGGATTTTAGTCTGCGTTTCGTTATTTATAGAGGAAAGTTTATCACCTTTGAAAATAAAACAAAACATTTTACCGGAAATGCATCAATCTTTAAATAGCTACTTGAATAAAACGACACCCCATGCTAAGTATCTATTTTTGAAATGTAACAAAAGAACACAAAAGTAGAGCCCCAAAAGTAAATGCGTGGGTGGCGGCGGGTGCAGTGAAGGGGTGTGGGCGTTTGAGTGGGATTTGAGTTTACTTTCACCTAATCTCCTTTTGTCTATAATAATAACTTTCATTCTGTTACTCCACTGTCACTTATTTAATTTTAATGTGTTGTTTAATTAATATTGCCCACCACATCTCAAAGTTAAAAATCTCAAAACTTTGGCGTTTCGTTTTGCATCGCAAATAATGACATTTGCAAAGACTGTGATTGATCAATCACTTTTGACAAATTGAAATATTCGCGAGCGGAACTGGAGGAAAGTCAAAACATTACAATTAATTGGAAAAAATAGTGTTTTATTCTAAATCGCATGAATGTACGATAAAGAAAGAATTGAGACATTTAAGTTTAGTTATTTATGTGTGTTATAATATGCCGGTAGGTCGAAAACGGTGGAATCTTCATGGTAAGTACAAAAGTGTAATTTAGCCCAGTTTCCTTTTAATTACAAATCATTTGTTTACTTTTTAGAGAATCTAGATAACAAAATATTTACTAGTCCCCTCCAGGTAGTGTTTGTAACATTTTATGTGAACTGTTGAAAGATAATCATGGTTCAAATTCATTGAGTTAATGCATGATAAAATAGGAGCAATTACTGACCTTGTTTTAGGCACTTCTTTCCTACTAATGAATTAAAATTCATAGATACTTTCACTGTAACAATAATGAGTAATAATATTCATCAAAACTGCTGAGCTAAGAAGTTTCCTAACTAGACATTTTGGGTCTTTTTAGATAGGTATGTTTCCTAGATGTCAAGGTTTTATAAATAAGTTGAATGCAAACTTACATACCTTTTACTTACTGTAAAGTATTAGGTACATATCTACTGGAATACTATTCAAATATAACCTAATATTGCAGTTTCTGTCCTAAATACTTTTAGTCTACTACATATTCTTATTCTATTAAATTATGAATTAATTTCATTCTGCCAAATTGTAAAGTATTGTATGCCCGTTTTCACCATCAATCCCTAATTTTTAAGTGACTCATAAGGTAACACATAACAGGAATTTTGTTTTCATACGGGTTACTTAAAAATTAGGGATTGGTGGTGAAAATGGGAATTAATCTTTCTGTACAATGAATATAAATAAAAAGTGCAATTTAGATAGGTCTATCTCTATTTATTTTATCATTGATTTTTATTTACCTGCCTGTACAACATGCTATCATTCAAAGTGAGCTGCTTTTGGTTAAAGATTTCGAGTGAAGTTACATTCATACTTCCAAAATGTTATAACCCAGACAGGCAACATTTAGAACATCTTATTAACGAAGCTGTGTAAATATTTACTTTGTTTTAGTTGATTTGTTAAGTCTAGATTAAAATGAGTCCTTGTTGACTGAATGAATACAGTTCATTGTACTGTAGTAGCATAACTCTCATTGTAGAATGTATTTTTTATCATTTCTTCATATTGGTATAGTTCTTGCAACTTACAAAGGTGAGTGAGCTTTACTTGTGTGTGTACGTGTACATGCACATAACGATAGTGTAATGTCTGTCAAAACTTTTGAAAAAACAAACAGTAGCGAGCCACCACACATGTAAAGCTCACTCGCTCATCTATGCTTTTGTGAATTGCAACAACTATAATCGTAGTAGCAGTAGTAATGAGATCATTCATGGACTTATGGTCATACTCAGCTTTTGATCCAGAGGAGGTAGTCTGGTACAGGGGAGTAGTATGGTCCAGGGAGGTAGTATGGTCCAGGGGGGTAGTATGGTCCAGGGGGGTAGTATGGTCCAGGGGGGTAGTATGGTCCAGGGAGGTAGTATGGTCCAGGGGGGTAGTATGGTCCAGGGGGGTAGTATGGTCCAGGAGGGTAGTCTGGTCCAGAGGGATAGTATATTCCAGGGGGATAGTATGGTCCAAGGGCTAATCTTTTTTAGGCAAAAATTTCTTCCTTCTCATTAAGAGAGATGCCGCACGGACGTAGACATTGCGGTGCGGTGCCGCAGCGGGGTTGTAGCGTATTTAAACGCATACAGATTTATATGAACGGAGCGGCACTGCTGCGATGACGCACGGCTACGTCAACACCTATGTGCTATCTTTCTAAGACTTTATCAAACTGTTGAAGTTATTGTTATACTATGAAGTTCCCAATACTTTTTAGTGATCTCTTACAGATGGGCCACAAGGATCTCTGCGGCGGCTGCGCAACCAGCTGGCCGAGGATGGCTGCGCCGAGTCGCAGGTCGTGCTCGCTAAACAACTGCTAGAAGAGAAATGTGGTNAATGTGGTGAGTGTATGCTCTAAGGTAGGGAGAGGAACAAATCCCACCACCACCAATGGTTCTTCCTGCCTCACGGCGTACGAACCGAATCTCGGGAGAGCGCGCGGGTACTTCCCTGCTTTGGGCTCCTTTCCCCGGGCGCTTTGCTTGACTCCCTACAAATTTCTCGGATCCATGTCTATTCTCTTAGTCAATTCTTCCCCTTCTGGGGCTTGACACAACAAATACGGTACTTCGCGTCGGGCTGCTATCGTTGATAAATGTCATCACTTCTTCTCAAAACTTCGCCTGATTGTGTGTCAGGAGTGCGCAAACTCGTGCAGCGCGATCCAGTTACCTACTGCGACTACTCGTGAGGTAGTTGTGATATACAGGTCCTTGCTCGGCTCTCCGTATCGCATCCAGCATCTTCTGTCGAGCTTCGTCAGAGAGAGGAACAGTTGAAGGGGCTAGCAGACACCAGCCAGGATACACTCTCACTCCAGATGGGCCACAAGGATCTCTGCTCGCCGAGGACAGCTGCGCCGAGTCGCAGGTCGTGCTCGCTAAGCAACTGCTAGAAGAGAAATGTGGTAAGTTTAAGCCTAGACGCAGACCACCGACTTTTAGTTGGCCGATAGTTGGATGTATGAAAGTGCACACATTTCACCTTGGTAATGACATTACACTTTGGTATCGGACGATTCTTCATACAAATCAAAATCGGGCCCAACTATCGGCCAACTAAAAGTCGGTGGTCTGCGGTTAGGCTAAGTCGTGAGGTACGGAGGGTATTCAATTTCCCTCGAAGATTGAGAGGCTCGCTCGAGAGCGGGCCATAGATAGCCTGAGACTGAGCCGCAGACAAATATCCAAACAATAAGGACAATAACTCGCGGCTCCGTTTCGTTAGGCTTCGATCGACCTGCAAGCTTTCAAGAAGAGAGCGTATCTTCACCTTAAAGGCCGGCAATACACCTGTAACGCCCCTGGGTCTATGGGCGACGGTAATCACTTACCATCAGGTGATCTGTCTCCTCGTTTGCCTCCTGTCACTTAAAAAAAACTGTTAAGATCGTCGTTCTGTCTCCTTCCTAAAGTTGCTGTGCCCTAACTGGGTCCACATTGAATAACTACCTAAATTGCAAGACCTAATGTGAATGTGCTAATGTGGTTATGCAATAAACGATTGAGTATTGAGGACAACGTCATCGTCGTTGCCCCTTATTGCAGAAAGAGTCCCTGAAAACTCAATGTCCGTCCCCATCGGTCAGTGGGCATGCAAAAAGCATTTCGCGACGTGAAAAGAGGCCAAGGTAGGGAGAGAAATGTCAGGGGACACCAGTCAAGCATGTGTCGTTATCGAGTTTTACTCGCTACGATAATTATTACAGAACCACTTCCCTCTACATAAATATGAGGAATTTAGGCATATCCTCATTGGATATAATGTGTGCATCGGAAAAAAATAAGATGCACTGGCTTAATAAAAATAAAAGTACCAAGTACCTTACACTTTTCTTCTCTTTTCATGTTTTTTATCTTACATAAAGTGGAAGTTCTATCGCTTATTCGCGTTTAATAATAAATAATGATAAAACTAGTGCATACGAACTACGTTATTATTCCAAAAGGAAAATAATTACTATACAGACTTCCTTGGTCAGTGATAATATAATTGAACTAACTTAAGAAATTGTAAATCGCAAATGTGATTTTTATTTTATATAAATATTATTTTTATTATATTTGATACGAATTAAAAATTTATATTTTTTAATAATCACGAAAACAAAACAAATTGTGGGGGACAACGGAACTTTTTTGGTTTCGATGTCCACCACTGAGGGACAGAGCAACTCATTTCTTCTTAGTGTCCACCAGTAGGGCCCAACGGGAAGATTTCAGTAGCGCTGTCCCCCACTGGTGGACATTGCAACTTTTTTTCTCGATGTCCACCAGTGGTGGACAAATAGTGGGGGACATCGGGAATAAACGTTATAAAAGGCGTATTTCCTGTAAAAGGCCTACTGACTGGGTAGAACAGCTACAACAGAACTGCTTTGTCGTGTCGTCATATGCAAGCGTTATCATAATCCTCGTAATGTTTTATTGCAGAGCTTGAAGCAGATAAAATATCGAACTTCAAACAAGCTTTGGAATGGCTGATATGTGCTACTGAACAGGCCCATCCAGAAGCTAGAAGAATGTTGCGAAGGTAAGTTTATTTAAAAACTTTTTACTCAACCCCAAAACCATATTATGGTCAGTTATAAAAAATACTGGCACATAATTTTTTTTTTAAATATACAACTCTAATTTCAATAATAAGGTCAGTTATAAAAATACTGGCACGCAATAAATACTTTTTTTTAAATTGACTANATTGACAATGCTGTCAATCAGAAAAACTTTCAGAGGCCGATGTCATACGATCGGTCGGCCTTTAGAAAAATCTAAACAAACTACGGAAAATCCAAGCAAAGGACAACCACGATGGTAATATGAGGTAACCGACAATGCCCAGCATTCTTTAGTTACGTAAACATAAACACTGGTCACTTGAGGTACTACTCGCCAGCGGTAAACACGTATTTTTATAAGTTGTGTGTGTAGTTATTAATATAAATAAATGAATGGGCATATACACGATTTCGCTCTGTGGAAGATACGGTGGGATAGAGTTCGGGATGAGTTGCGGAGATCCATGTAAGTTTTGGGAGTTTGTTACCTAAGTACGTTTTTTTGGGTTGGTTAATCACAATTTTTGAGGATGCGGTCTGTAGAGGTATTGTCTTTAACCGATTGAGTCCCAGACGGCATTAATTAATGTCATAACAATTGATTATCTATTGTGTCTAGATTCGCGGAGCTTGAAGGATTAATAGATAGAACATTAACATCAGGTATTTTAGACTTCATTGTAGGAGCACGACTCTCTAATTTGCCAAGAGCAAAAGAGAGAATTTTATTTACTCTCTAAATCCCCATGCTGGCCAGACATGGGAAGCCTGATTGTCGCTTTACCGTTTTAAGATATCCTTGGGAATTAAGGGAGTGCTGGAACCACAGGCAGTAGATATCAATGTTTTTTCTTTCTTTCGTACTGCAACTAGTGGTTCTCACGTAACTTGTCGTTAACTCGAGGATATACTTCAGTATCTATTTATTTTTTGCTAACGTATTTTTTCTTTTTATGTCACAAATTAGTTTACACAAACATGGTATCAAAAACCGGACGCGTCTGTCAGTCAACCAGTTGTGATGAAAAATTTTCTATCCACTTGTCAACTCTGTAGCTGTAAAATGCGCGCCACGATAAACTTTTATGGGGGCATTCTATCGATTTTGCATGATACATTTGTCGTCTAAAATCGTCGATAAGATTTTATCATTTACCAATCCTAGCACTGGCCGTTCTAGCCAGTTAGACATTAAAAACAAAACAATATTCTGTCCTTATCACAGGTGTATCCGTAGCGGTGTGATAGACGAGGACAGCGCGGCGATTGTCCGCGCCAAGTCCTGTCTCGCCGCGAGTCGCCAGGAGACGGTCGCTAGGAAGGCGGCCAGAGACCTCTTCGCAAGGTATCATCAAAGATAAAACTTTTTTATTTGATCCATATTATTTAGGCGGTAATCGACAAAAGTCGGTGTCAAATTGCTTAGGACCTGAAATGCGATAAAAGCTAATACATACGTCATTTAACATTATATGGGCGTGTGTTGACGAGCTGATTGACTGAACTGACGGCCGATGGGGCAGCAAGGTTCTGGAATAGAGGCTGCGTACCGGAAAACGCAGCGTGAGACGTTCACCTACAAGGTGGACCGACGACATTGTAAAGGTAGCAGGGAAGTGCTGGACGCAGGTCGCTACCAATCGATCAACATGAAAAGCATTGGGGGTGGTCTATGTTCAGCAGTGGACGTCCTATGGCTGAAATGATGTGTTGACGAGCTAGTCCAGTGTCGGGCTCATCAACCTACCCACTTATGGTTTATGAATGACCTTATTTATTTGTATTATTTGGACTTTTATTTATGAGCGCTGTCTTTAAGGCCGCTTTCACATTAGGGCGTAAGAAGCACAACAGCAGCGCAGCAGCGGCGTTTTTATAATGTGAAGGCATGCAATCGCTGTCACATAGTATGAAATTATCGGCAGCGCGTTTGTCGCGCTGCTAAAGTCGCCTAAATGTGAAAGCGCTCTTAAAATACCCTACTGTGTTATTAAAACTTTTGTAACTCATTAGCTCAGTGGCCAGACCAGTAGCCCTCTTTCTGAAAGTCTTAAGTACAGTCGCGGAATGAAAAGGTTCGTCACCTTAGTGTCGGTTTTCGCTTGCACTAGGTACTTTAAGAGTCAAACCTGCCAACATAACCGTGCAAGAAACAGTGCTGCTAACATTTAAATAAATATGACGTTTGCTAACGAATAATGTGTGCAATGTTACAAAATGTAGTTTTTTTTATTTAATAGATAATGGCAGGTTGAACCAACAAGAAGGTTTTAGTTTATCTATCATAATAATCTTCTTGACAAGTTAAATCGTCAAACAACTTTGATCTGAATAATTTTGAACTTTACTGACGAACAGTTAAAGATTATTTTCTCTAACTCGAGATTTTTCTGTAACATAGTTTAAAAAAGTAATATGTGCTCGTGATTCGTTGAAGGAATCAATTTGAAAACTGACGAACCTTTTCATTCCGTGACTGTACAAGTCCCTTAGCTGTTGGTAATATTTTTGTCTTATTTGTTCATATTTAGCCTGTCAAACGGAAAGCAGTATAAATTCCAGAGACGGCCAATTTTTTCAAGTGTAACAGTTTGCTTATGTTTCTGTTTATAATCCAGCCTGTCGAACGGAGAGCAGTACATAACGACCGCGCAGCTCGAGCGAAGGATCCGCGAGATCTGCAGCACCACGCTCTGCAAGCAGGACCCGGACTCCCCGGATGAGGACGACCCAGGTAAACTGACTGACTGACTGACATAGTGATCTATCAACGCCAAGCCCAAACCACTGGACGGATCGGGCTGAAATTTGGCATGCAGGTGGATGTTATGACGTAGGCATCCGATAAGAAAGGATTTTACAAAACTCCACCCCTAAGGGGGTAAAACGGGATCCACGCGTACGAAGTCGCGGGCGGCCGCTAGTAAAAATAAATAAATAATAAATAAATACCTATTTTAGGCACCAGACTCTCACACTATAGGTTTTCATTGTCAGCATAGTAGAGGCTAAGCATTACAATATTTTAAGTGTCTCGGTTAGATTCTCACTCTGATCCGATGAGACCTGGTGACCTGTAATAACAGGTATCCTTTATACCTCTCAGTCACCAGACTCTCACACTATAGGTTTTCATTGTCAGCATAGAAGGTTAAGCATTACAATATTGTATCATACTTTATTCGTTCGTTCGTTCGTTCGTTTCAGCCAAAGGCCTCCCCCAATGATTTCCATAACGACCGGTCCTGCGCTGCCCGCATCCAGGCTCTTCCCGCGACCTTCACCAGATCGTCGGTCCACCTAGTGGGAGGCCTGCCCACGCTACCTTCCGGCTCTTAAATACTATTAATCATTCAGCATAAAAGCGCGCGGAGTCGTCCACGCGGGTTCCTCTAATCTGACGTTTCTTGTATGACATTGACATTATAAGAATGTCAATGTCACTGTGACAGCAGCTCATTGGCTATAACGGCTATATTTCACCGGGACATCATGGCGGCGCAACCAGTCGCCGCTACCAACAAAATGTATGCAGCTCTATAGAGAGTTACTCACCTGGTGTCCGTTTGGTTGCGCAAAGCTGCATACATTTTGTTGGTAGCAGGCGACTGGCTGCGACGCCATAGTGTCCCGGTGAAATATAGCCGTTACGATACCGTTATTTTAACGTTTTAGATGTTTCACAATTATTATTAAAAGTACCTATAAATATATTTGTGTAGACGAGGCTCGCGCACTAGGCGACGAGCAAGCCCTGGAGCCGTCTCAACTACAGGCCGGGGACCAACCGCATTCCAACGGGACCCTGCGCCCTACGCACGCGCTCGACGACGGTGAGTCTAGTACCTAGTANGTTTGTTACGTTTTTTTGAGTTGGTTAATCACAATTTTTGAGGTTACGGTCTGTAGAAATATTGTCTTTAGTAGATAGAACATTAACATCAGGTATTTTAGACTTCATTGTAGGAGCACGACTCTCTAATTTGCCAAGAGCAAGGGGCAAAGAGAATTTTATTTACTCTCTAAATCCCCATGCTGGCCAGACATGGGAAGCCTGATTGTCGCTTTGCCGTTTTACGATATCCTTGGGGAATATGGGAGTGTTGGAACCACAGGCTGTAGATATCAATGTTTTTTCTTTCTTTCATAGTGCAATTAGTGGTTCTCACGCAACTTGTCGTTAACTCGAGGATATACTTCAGTATTTATTTTTTGCTAACGTATTTTTTCTTTTTATGTCACAAATTAGTTTACAAACATGGTTTCAAAAACCGGACGCGTCTGTCAACCAGTTGTGATGAACAATTTTCTATCCACTTGTCAACTCTGTAGCTGTAAAATGCGCGCCACGATAATCTTTTATGGAGGCATTCTATCGTTTTTGCATGATACATTTGTCGTCTAAAATCGTCGATAAGTTTTTATCATTTACCAATCCTAGCACTGGCAGTTCTAGCCAGTTAGACATTAAAAACAAAACAATCTTCTGTCCTTATCACAGGTGCATTCGCAGCGGTGTGATAGACGAGGACAGCGCGGCGATTGTCCGCGCCAAGTCCTGTCTCGCCGCGAGTCGTCAGGAGACGGTCGCTAGGAAGGCGGCCAGAGACCTCTTCGCAAGGTATCATCAAGGATAAAACTTTTTTATTTGATCCATATTATTTAGGTGGTAAGCGGCAAAAGTCGGTGTCAAATTGTCGATGGTCGGTAGTTTCATCCTCTATTTTGGTTGAAGTTTGGCCTGAAATGGAAAAAAAGAGCCAATACATACGTCATTTTACATTATATAGGCGTGTGTTGACGAGCCAGTCCAGCGTCGGGCTCATCAACCCAGCGACTTATGGTTTATGATCTTATTTGGACTTTTATTTACGAACGCTGTCTTTAAGGCCGCTTTCACATTATGGCGTGAGAAGCGCGACAGCGGCGTTTTTATAATGTGAAGGCATGCATCCGCTGTCATGTAGTACGAAATTATCGGTAGCGCATTTGTCGCGCTGCTAAAGTCGCCTAAATGTGAAAGAGCTCTAAAATACCCTACAGTTATTAAAACTTTTGTGACTCAGTAGCTCAGTCACAGTGGCCAGACCAGTAGCCCCGTTCTAAAAGTCCTAGGTCCAAGTCCCTTAGCTGTTGGTAATATTTTTGTCTTATTTGTTCATATTTAGCCTGTCAAACGGAAAGCAGTATAAATTCCAGAGACGGCCAATTTTTTCAAGTGTAACAGTTTGCTTATGTTTCTGTTTATATTCCAGCCTGTCGAACGGAGAGCAGTACATAACGACCGCGCAGCTCGAGCGAAGGATCCGCGAGATCTGCAGCACCACGCTCTGCAAGCAGGACCCGGACTCCCCGGACGAGGACGACCCGGGTGAGGTCTAGTATAGTGACACTACTACTGTTCAGGCACACATGCTTTCAATGAACACGGTACAATGAAGGCTATTGTTTTAGCGCTCACCAGTTAGCGCCACTGTAGAGTAAGGTCCTGTCACTTGCTAGTTAGTAGCGAAGACAGTGGCACCAACTGGTGAGCTCGAAAGTGGTAGGAGGACTATCGCATTTGCACTCATCAAGATGGCGCCACTGTAGAGTAAGGTCCTGTCAATCGCCAGGGGTGCCAACTGTTAAGTATAAAAACGATAGCCCTCATTGCGCGGGACCTATTTAAATCTGCCGCCAACTCCGTCCCGCCAAAACTTACACGGCGAGCGCGCGCGACTACAGATGCGCCGCGCTCCACGACGGCAAACGAACGAAAACTACGCTACGCACTCTCTCGCGTTTGGGCCGGCTCCGCGAGTGCCACGCTTATTGTGTGCTCCAACGGAAATGTGAAATTTGGTGACTTTTTGGAAATGTTTTGTGTGTGAGGCCTCCACCATACTGTGCTTGAAGTCAATGACTCAAGTGAACCACCGAAGGCACCGGGCGAAGCCCTAACCAGGCGTCCTACAGAGTACCTACCAGCAACGCGGCGGAAGACAAGGTACCTGTTCGATTGTTTCTGTGTTTTGTTGATTGTGTTGTGCCTGGACTACACTGGGGAACTCATATTCGGTTAAGCTATCGAAGTAGTTAACAACTACTGTATGCAGCCTGTCCAACGGAGAGCAGTACATAACGACCGCTCAGCTCGAGCGCCGGATTCGCGAGATTTGCAGCACCACGCTCTGCAAGCAGGACCCGGACTCCCCGGACGAGGACGACCCAGGTAAAACGTCAAAACTGCGCCCCGATTGCGCTAAAAAATTTCAACTGCAAGTCTGCAACGCGACTGGACGACGAACGAAAATCAGCTGTTTTGATAAATCCGTATCGCGGTGGCGTTTTGACAGCTAGATGAAACGAGGCCGTAACGTCAACGGTCCGCAACTGTGCCTTTGGGTAAAAGCTGACAGAAAGATACATTCTCTTAAACGCAGTCAAACGCTTCACGAATATTTGAGATGATCGGACTTTGCCAAAAAGTGCATAAATTCGATGTTTCGTCTTTGTTTACGCGTGAATTTTACCGCGATACCGAATTGCACTTCGGCTGGAATGAAAATGCAGCGTAACTGGAGTGTAGACTGGAGATGAAACGCGAACGAATTGGAGACATTACAAATTCTTTCTTTCTTCCTTTTATCCACAACGAGGCAAAGCTCTTTTCCTGTATCTCACTTGACTACGCGATTATTTATTATCTCCCACACATAATACAGAAAAAAAAGATAAAAAGACACATGAGAGAAGACACAATGAGTGTGCGAGACCGGTGTCTAAGCTAGGTAAATGAATACCTATGTTACAGGTCACCAATTGCTGTTTTTTGTGTGTTCTTGGAATGGGAGCATCAACTCAAATGAATAGTGATTATTTAAAATGATATAGTACTAGCGGCCGCCCGCGACTTCGTACGCGTGGATCCTGTTTTACCCCCTTTTCCCGAATTTTCTTTGCTATAAACCTCACGGAGCCCGAGACCTTTCCAACGAATGCAAAACCGTGGATATCGGTTCGTGCGTTCTGGAGTTATAGCGTCAGGGAGGAAAACCCGACTTATTTTTATATAGTAGATAATATTTTTTGATTGTTTTTCGTAGAGATTAGATGTTGCACGACTTGAAGAGAATTTCTGTGAACTTTCGCCTCTATAATATTAGTATACCAATCGGCTAATATTTTTTGTGTTTCAGATGAGGCTCGCGCTTTAGGTGACGAGCAAGCCCTGGAGCCGTCGCAACTACAGGCCGGGGACCAACCGCATTCCAACGGGACCCTGCGCCCTACGCACGCGCCCGACGATGGTGAGTTCACTAGTACCCCTCCAAATGCCTTTAGATACCTACTGCCCCTCTTAATACCTGGTACCCCTTCAGATATCTAGTGGTCCCTTGATACCCATCCAGATACCTAGTACCCCTCCAGATACCTGTTGCCCCCTGTAGATACTTAGTGTACCTCCAGATACCTGTTGCCCACTCTAGATACGTACTTGGAGCACCTCCACATACTATTTCCCTCTAGATACAAAGTACCATTCCAGATACCTAGTACTCCTCTAGATACAAAATACCCCTTCATATACCTAGTACCCCTCCAGATACCTAGTACTCCTCTGGATACATAGTACCCCTTCTGATACAAAGCCCCTCTAGATTTTGTTGACCACTCTAGATACGTACTTGGAGCACCTCCACATACTATTACCCTCTAGATACAAAGTACCCTTCCAGATACCTAGTACTCCTCTAGATACAAAATACCCCTTCATATACCTAGTACCCCTCCAGATACCTAGTACTCCTCTGGATACATAGTACCCCTTCTGATACAAAGCCCCTCTAGATTTTGTTGTCCACTCTAGATACGTACTTGGAGCACCTCCACATACTATTACCCTCTAGATACAAAGTACCCTTCCAGATACCTAGTACTCCTCTAGATACAAAATACCCCTTCTGATACAAAGTACCCTTCCAGATACCTAGTACTCTAGATACATAATACCCCTTCTAATACAAAGCCCCTTCAGATACCTGTTGCCCGCTCTAGATACCTAGTATCCCTCTCAAGATTACTCAAAAATTACCTTTTGTGTGAGCAGCTTAACTTAATGAAATAACGTTAAAGTGATAATATTTTCTAGAGAGCATAACAATGAAATTCCTTTTTGCAGATTATCCAGACGCCTGCGCACCAAACGACGATATCCGAAACCTAACAGTTGACAATCTTGTCTCAGCAGCCGTCGACTACTGTCAAGGCGAACTACCCCTCGTGACATATGACCTCACTCTCACAGACCCCAGTGTCAAAGCCTTAGACCACATCCCCTTGCTACACCAAGCATTCCTACACCCTATAGTCTTCATTCAAGTGTTATATCTCAAGCTGTTATACTACTTTGCTACATTCTCTTTCAGGCTCTCAAATATTGAATTAGCCCTTCTTCTAATAGCATACTTATCGGTCAGCGCGGATAGTCTATACCATCTAGTCCCTCTAGTTTTGTACTACGTCAGTTTTGTCGCAATGGTCATATGCACGTTCAAAATGATTCATGCAAAACGCCAGTTTGTAGACTTCAGAAAATGGTCAGGTCTTTTTTTGAGATATAGCGATGGGAATCTTCAGCCAGATGAATCTGAAAATCTGTTTGTGAAAAACAATTTGGGGCCATTTATGCAGTTCTTCTTGGCGCTATTCATCAATTTGTTTTTATACCCCTTTATTGCCACACAGTGGGTCCCGTTCTCCGAATTTTGCGTCCTATCTTTCTTCCTAATGTTCCTCACCTTATTCTCTTTTGGGACAAATGGGAATCCATACCCAGATGTACTGGCGTTAGTTTCTTTCGGCATAAATGTCCTGGCCAAGTACCCATATGAGAAAGACACAGTTGTACACCAAGGCTGGCGGTTTCTAGATCTCCACATATCGAATTATCCGTCTTACATCCTAGGAAATAGCATCGAGTTTTGTCTGAACGCGCGCGTGTTCTTTTCTCTATTAATACCTATAATTTTAGTCCTTATGGCGAAGAGAAGTGAATGGAAAGGATTCTTCAAATATACCTTACCCCATTGTGTGACTCTCAGTTGGTTGCAGATGTTCATTATGTGTTCCCATGGGTGCACTACGTATGGTTTGATAAGGGGCACACTTGCTTTGGTGTGCTCTTTTCTATTCTTGCCTTTGATAGGGGTGGTTACAGTGACTCTGCCTATATTCGCGTTCCTACAATACATAACGTTGTCCAGAGTTCTGTATACGGTTTCTATTGTGGTAGGGTTTGGACTGAGTTTGTTTGTAACCTGCTTGCTGGCCAAATCAGAGGTGACTAAGAAGTTCGTCACGCCGTTTCAGGTGAGAAAATATTTTATACTACAGTTTTTTTGGTTAGATTTTTATTTATTATATTAAGGTTTTCTTTGAGTACACAAAATATTTTTACAGAGATTACAGAACTACTTTTTAAATTGACAAAATGATCTTAGAATATGAATATACATTTATTAGATTTATGCCCGTTTTCACCATCAATCCCTAATTTTTAAGTGACCCCTATGAAAACAAAATTCCTATTAAATGTTACCGTAAGGGTCACTTAAAAATTAGGGATTGGTGGTGAAAACGGGCATTACTCTCTTGCTCACAATAATGCCAAATTGAAAGAATAAAAAGAATTTGACTATTTTTTCTACACCAAATAGTTTCAAATTACAAAAAAAGTATTTTTTATTTTCAGCTTGCCGTCGGCCTCCTAACCCTAATCTATTTCGGCAACCAGTTCGTAGCAAACGTGCAAGATGACGGCCTACCCTCCGGATTAATCGAGCTAATTGGCGACGAGAAAGCCAGCATCAAAAACCTCCTCAAAAACGAGTTCATAACCGACTACGACGACAATACTTACCACATAAACTGGGACGATTATTATACGCAGTGTAACATGCCTTCTTGGTCGGATTATAACATGGCGGAAACGCAAATCAAGTGTTCTGTACTAGATGGCGCTAACGTCAATTGGGAAGGTTACATCAAGGAGGTCAAACTCAAAACTGTCGTAAACAGATGGAATGACTTCGCTTCGTGGTTGCCAGCGTTTTTGAAGGAGTATTTCAAATGTTACTACGGCGAGGAGTATGCGACGTTATGCCAGAATACGGAAGGTCCAAATTCGGTTAAGGAGTGCGAGTTTGTGAGGAGTGTTGCAAGGCAAAGCGGGAAGAGTTGCCATTTGAATAATTTGGACGAGTAAGTTGTTTTTTATATTATTACCTTTAGAATAGACACAAACTTATCACTTAACATTTGTTGAGTATTCGCTATCGCATTAACATAATTGATGGATGCCAGTTGCTTTATTTGTCAGATATCTCTATCTGTAACCCCTGCAATCCTGCAACCGAAAGTTGTAAATTATTTATTTTTGTTTGTGACACCTAAAACCAAAACGAGTTTTTCTGACACATAAGACTTTTTTGTTTATCTGAAAACTCTGCTTGTCTTTGGGCAAGCAAATGGTCGTTGATACTATTAATTTCTAAAGCCCGGTCCGTGAGCACGTAGAATTTTGTCCAATGACCCCTAGCTACCCATCCTTATCGCTTGCGCGTAATTATATTGATGTCGCGACTGTGCGACGGGCGCCGCAGTGAGTGTGCGAGCGCGATAGCAACATAATTACGCGCGAGCAATAAGGATGGGTATCTTGGGGTCATTGGACAAAATTCTACGTGCTCACGGACCAGACTATAGGCAATATATTTATATTAAAATATACACAACATTAAGCAGTTATTCTTATTTCAGATACACCTACGAAGTAAAACTGCTTATGGAAGCGGGCGGCGGGATCCTAAAACGTCGTTCCGAAATCTCCGTCATTTTCGACCACATATTCTCAAACTTCACCCGGTCCCTTCGCGTCGACGACAAAATACGCTTCAAAGGTACCCTCTCCAACGATCCAGGTACCTACAATATTGGCACTAAAGACCTAGTCATTAAGGGTCATGAGATATCGTGTATAGAATGCAAAGACGCCTCAGGCAGTATAAGCTCAAAAATGCCAGCGTCTTCAAAATTCTCGGACTTGTTCAAAACGATTGTCAACGACTGTGTAGTGTCGACTAAATACATTTTGAACTTTTTACTCAATCCTGTAATCGTTTTTAAGTAAGTTTTCTCGGGATTGTCTGTTGGGCGAAATATCTTTTCTTCAAATACATGCAAAAGCAAAGTAAGACTATTATACTGTTCCTAAATAGTTCGAATAATCAAAAATAGTTTGAAATGAAGATATTTCTTCACGTTCAACACGTATTGAATTGATAAATGTATTGTTAGTGTTGCCGAAACATCGATATTTTGATATCGATAGTCATTGCGTATGATTCGATATACAACACTGAACGAGCTCACTTTTGTCGATTTGATAAAATATGTGGTAATAATAAATAAATGTCTATAATAGTTGATCTCTAAAAACGCCTATGGTTTTATATTTATCGTTTTTCATTAATATGGCTATTTACGTTTATTAAAAAAAAAAACGTCTAATAATGTATTCCAAAGCGTATTTTTGTGGAGTGCAATATTTACTGTATTAATATGTATGGTGCAATGAAATGAAAATATTTTTGAACAAGTTTTTTGAAGGATGTATTCTCTTATTTGATGTTTTTATGTAACATTAGCAATCAATTAACTAAATAATGTAGCTTTTTCTTTCCTTCAATACTTTGTTGTATTACTAGCAATTTAGCAAACTGTCGACCAAAAATAATTATTGCTTTATGATAGAGATTCTCTAGATTCGTTCACTCATTGAAAGGAGGTGGGACTATCCATGCTAGTACGATGGCTACTGCGTTAGATATCGATTTATCAGCTGAGTGACATCACTAATTATTTCGGCCGAATAGAAATGGCATTTTCCAGACTGATATTTTTATTGTGTTATGCTTTTATAAAATTAATAACCAAGTTATTTTTATGATATTTAATGGTTACTCATAACTTATTAATTCTTCACACTTGTTTGATGCTTTGTACCATTGTTAAAAATATTTAAAAGTTTAAAAGAACAAAGGCGAAATTATCTTGCTGCTACTTGCACAATTTTCATACAGTATAACAATCACGGTTTACTTTAAATCATACATTAGAAAAGTATTCGTTATTGAGTGTCAGTTTAAAACGTAGAGTTTTTGAAATTAATTCACCCGAATAATATTATAATAAAAAAATAAATACGTGTCTAAAAAGGAAGTTCTCAATATAATAAAATAATTGTTTATAGTTGTTATGCTTTACTTTGGATTCAATTGTTTTTTTTATAAAACCTATGCGGGTAATTCTGAGATAAATCATAGTTTTAATTATGACTGCTACGTCACCATATTGTTATGTTAATAAAGTATAAAAAAATACAGTGTAATTACGAAGATTGTGTGTAATTTATGATCTTTTATGTTTGACGTTTTGTATTATTATTGTAGATGTAATGTTGATTGAAATGGATTAAGACCTGTATTTTGAAAAGATTATAATTTCAGAATACAGGTTTGAAAATGTGTCGTGCAATTTGATGATTCGAATATGTATTTGATATGTAAAAATTTATAAAATAGACAGAATTGTCATTGTTAAAAAACGTTTTGTCTCTTTCGATGCGATTGTAGGTGACAAAACAACGTGTAATTTTTCTTCGTTGCCCACATTTTCTTACTGCTACTATTCGTTGCGATTAGTCGTTAGTGCTATCGTTCATAGGCGACTACTAGTTACTGCCACTGGTTGAAAAAATCACTTTTGGCCCAGTGACTAGTGTCTACCAGTAGTGATCCTGATAGTAGGTATTGATGACAAGTCGCTACTCTTGACTAGTGACCAGTGACCTTTTGTGCGGCAACGATTAACTTACATTATAAAAACAACGTTTTAAAAAGAGTAGTGGGTATTGTGCTGTTTATAAATGTCTATGTAAAAAAATAATCTGTGAAATAAATGTAAATACGATTGATAAATTACGTAAATGACATTATAATGTATTTTTTAAATAATGTTAGACTTTACTCGCCTATAGAGTAAAAGGGTATCGTTTTATGACAATAGAATATATGAAATGTCAAGTGTTATATGAATAAAGGAATATTTTGACTGAATATTATCGTTTTTCGTTATCTCGTATTAAATTATTTAATTGATAAGTAGGTACACTTACAAAGTAATAATGTTGCAAACGACAAAGTGGCTTAATGTGTTATCTAATACACAACTTATTAATTAAACTAACTACTTGCAAAGTTAATTTAAATTACGTCTTACAGTAAATGAGTTTTATAACTCGTGCATATCTCAACTCATTATAAATACAATATAATAATTAATTATGTAAATATGATAAATAAATCACTTCATACAATACACATAAGAACCTACACAGACATAAATATTAATTTAATTATAATTTTATAACAATTAATGTTATAAAAATATAATTAAAATGCAAGAAGAATGGCATCAGTCTCTTCCACATTCAGTCTCCTACCCAGCGCAATAAGACTTGCTGCATATAAAAAATAATCAAACAACTTGCACAGGTAACGATTAAAATATCACTAATATTATTATCTTTAAAAAAATTCAGTGTAGAATACTTGAGAGTTATTTCAAAAACGGATTTAAAAAATGTGTCGTGCATTTTGCATTTGATGTTTATAAATTGTTGGAAACAGGTTAATTCTTCTATAGGTGAAAAAAATTTGATTTTTTTTTATCGACAATTTAAAGTTCAACAGTACCTCTCTAGTAGTTCAAAAGTCTTTGGCGCCAAGTCGCATTGCACTTTGAGTTTGATAATTTGTAATCTCATGGATTTGTTACACTGTTGTGGGTTCAGTGCCGCTTGATCGCAGCCCGCTACATGTCACGATCAAGAAGTGTCGGGCGGACTATTTTTTCTATAGAATTTGACAGCGGCGGCGGCAGCACTTCTCCGCTTTTCACAGCCCCGCTCCGCTTTAGTTTAAACCGGGCCTAACAGACCGTTGCCCTGTCCGACAATGTTGTTCATACATAATGCTGACTGCGTTCGACCTCTGCAGAACGGATACAGTGTGGCAAATCCATAATCCTTTGATCATTTATTTAAATTTAAAATTTCGAATGCAGCAAGGGCATCGGAAAGTAAACAAATAACTGGCAAATTATCTAATCTACAGTTTATTGTTAGCAACAAATAAACTTAGGACGGATTCTCAGTTATTCTTTTATCTATTACGGTATTTGCGGCCCGGTCTTCGGGGCAGTGTGTCGTTTAGGAAACTGAAGAAGAACAACAAACTGTTTTTTTTTTAAATAAAAATTGTGACAAAGGTAAGTCGTTCTTTTAACAATTAAATTAAATATAATTTTTGTCAAACGATTTGATGTAGTGCTTAGTTGATGAATGCTCCAGTGGGCAGAGTGTGAGTTTACATCAAGAGCGTGATGAAAACTATTAGTGAGCGCGTTTAAAAATGTATGAAAATTTTAGTTTTTGAACGTTTCCCGCTAGGGGCGCTGTACAATCCGCCATACATTTAATGTCATTTTTTGACACGCTTACTAGTGAGCGCGTTTGACGAAAACTCGCACTAGGCCCACAGAGGTTGCAAGTTCGATTTTAGCTAAATATTGTGTGTGTATTGAACTACCTATTTAAAGGACATCATCCACGTTTCATATATTTTTGGTCAAAAATCAAAAGTGCCGGCCAACAAAAAAAAGTGCTGTATTCTGACAGAATACGTCTGCCTTAGCATTTGTTACTATGGCATCAAAGCCGTGTAGCTCCACTGTGCGTCGAGTATTTGAGATCTAAAAGTCATCGACTATTCATACATTTTTTGTTCAAAATCAAAAGTGTCGGCCAATAAAAAAAAAGTGCTGTATTCTGACAGAATACGTCCGCCTTAGCAATTAATGATTAAACGAACTTAAAAAGTGAAGTTCTATCATAATTATGCGAGGGCTTTGTCCGAAGAGATTAGAAATAAGAACTATGTAGTATCACGTACGGTGATGCCAGTTTACGCACTGTTAGNATCAGTCTCTTCCACATTCAGTCTCCTACCCAGCGCAATAAACTTTTTGCTGCAAAGAAAAATAACCAAACAATTTGCACAGGTAACGATTAAAATATCACTAATATTATTATCTTAAAAAAAAACAGTGTAGAATACTTGAGAGTTATTTCAGAAACGGGTTTGAAAATGTGTCGTGCAATTTGATGGTTTGAAATTGTTTGAAACAGGTTAATTCTTCTATAGGTGAAAAATTTGTATTTTTTTATCGACAATTTAAAGTTCAACAGTCTGTACCTCTCTAGTAGTTCAAAAGTCTTTGGCGCCAAGTCGCATTGCACTTTGAGTTTGATAATTTGTAATCTCATAGATTTGTTACACTGTTGTGGGCTCAGTGTCACCTAATCGCAGCCCGCATCATGTCACGAATACGATCAAGAAGTGTCGGGCGGAATAATTTTTCTTTTCTGGAGCTGTGAAGAGAAGTGTAAATAATTAAATCTGATTGGTTATTCAAAACACTTCTCCGCTTTTCTCTGCTCCGTTCCGCCTTGGTGTAAACCGGGCCTAACAAACCGTTGCCCTGACCTGACCCTGCCTCTGAAGGACGGATACAGTGTGGCAAATCCAGAATCCTTTAAGTTTAAGTAATCATTTATTTAAATAAATAAATTTCGAATTCAGCAAGGGCATCGGAAAGTAAACAAATAACTGGCAAATTATCTAATCTACAGTTTATTGTTAGCAACAAATAAACTTAGGACTGATTCTCAGTTATTCTTTTATCTATACGGCATTTGCGGCCCGGTCTTCGGGGCAGTGTGTCGTTTAGGAAAGTGAAGAACAAGAAACTGTTTTTTTTTTAAATAAAAATTGTGAAAATTAAAGGTAAGTCGTTCGAACAATTAAACAAAAAAAATATTTTTGTCAAACGATTTGGTGTAGTGATTAGTTGATAACTTCATGAATACTCCAGTGGACTGAGTGTGAGTTTACGTCAAACACGCTCACTAGTGAGCGCGTTTAAAAAATGTATGAATATTTTAGTTTTTGAACGTTTCCCGCTAAGGGCGCTGTTCAATCCGTCATACATTTATTGTCATTTTTTGAAGCGCTCCCTACACTAGTGAGCGCGTTTGACGAAAACTCACACTAGGTCCTCAGAGGTTGCAAGTTCGATTCCAGCTAAATATTGTGTGCTTAAACTAGGTACCTACCTATTTAAATTTATTAATCTGGATGTTTCTTATTTATAACAGGAATGTATTATTTACTTTGCCTAGCTTGGGACTGGATGGCAACGTATAAAATACTTAATGATAANAACTGGCAGAGCACTGAATCGTGACTGACGACGGATACCAATGTCAAATGGGATGTAAACTGAGATACCCACAAAAAAAAAAAAAAAAAAATATCCTCAACTAACAGTGCGTAAACTGGCATCACCGTACGTGATACTACATAGTTCTTATTTCTAATCTCGAGGACAAAGCACGAGCATAATTGTTATTATGGCACTAAAGCTGTAGCACCACTGTGCGTCGAGTATTTGAGATCTAAAATTCATCGACGATTCATACATTTTTTGTTCAAAATCAAAAATGTCGGCCAATAAAAAAAAAGTGCTGTATTCTGACAGAATACGTCCGCCTTAGCATTTGTTACTATGACACCAAAGCTGTAGCACCACTGTGCGTCGTAGTATTTGAGATCAAAGTCAGTCGTTTCATATATTTTTAGAACTATTAGAATACAGCACTTTTATTTTTTGGCCGGCACTTTTGATTTTGGACCAAAATGGATGATGTCCTTTATTTATCTTAATTATAACTGGAATGTATTTTACTTTGCCTACCTTGGGACTGGATGGCAACGTATAAAATACTTAATGATATTTTTAATTTCAGGTCCATCAAAATATCAGAATGATAAAAGGATTTGGATTGCCGATTGTCTTTTGCTTGTTTCATCTGGTGATTTCTCAAGAGAACTGTACCACGAAACGTTTACCGAAGGGTCTAAAGCTGGGGGTGGGTTCAGCTGCCTTCCAGATAGAAGGAGCTTGGGATGCTGCAGGTAAAATAATTACTATTCCCACCTCTCGTTCCCACCGCTGCAACTCCTGTGTAGCCAGGATCTACAGCTTGACCGCCAATAAAAACCCAACCAGTGAAGGTCAAGTTTGTCCGGGGGGAAGTTAAACTGAAACATCGTCAGGTCATAGTCTCAACTGTAGGAGCACGACTCTAATTTATCAGAAGCAAATTAAGTGTCACCCCCAAGACAGAAGATAAGCCATATCGGGCCCTTATACTTATGTTTAACAACACTATTAATTTTATTGTTATTGATTTAGTAATTACTAGTGGCCGCCCGCGACTTCGTACGCGTGGATCCCGTTTTACCCCCTTCTTCTCTTTCGCGGTTTAGATTTTTCATACAAAAGAATTTTCCCGCTAATTCCCGTTCCCGTGGGAATTCCTAAGTATACTATAACCTGCCCAGGAGTATGAAGAATAATTGTACCAAGTTTCGTTAAAATCCGTCGAGTAGTTTTTGTTTCTATAAGGAACATACAGACAGACACAAAAATTTTACTGATTGCATTTTTGTCATCAGTATCGATCACTAATCACCCCCTGTGTGTGCAAATTATAATCGCAAACCAGTCGATAAGTGGTCGAAAAGCCCCTTTTTTGTATAGAGTTTTGACGGATTCGATTTTTGATTCGATCAAAAAGTGCGATTTGTCTAGGGGTCCTGTTATTTTGAAAATATATTTCATGTACAGATTTGACCTCTCTACAGATTTATTATAAGTATAGATTTAGTTACTGACCTAGTGCCTAGCCTAGCCTAGTGACATTTTTCATTCTTACATTGATTGCCCCAGTCCCCTTGAATTAGGTTGATTTTAAATTAATTAGGACGTTACGTTAGGAAATAATTTCTTGAATTGCCTTCATTCGTTAATTCCAGATAAAACTCCCAGCATTTGGGACAACTTCTCGCGATCCAGCGGAGTGATCAAGGACGGATCAAATGCGGAAGACTCTTGC